TCCCTCAGGGTAAAGTGACCAATGTGTGAAGCTGACCACTCACCTCAATCTAGGGTGAAGGTCAAGTATATCCCAACTAATCCATGCATCTGCATGATGTGGGAGAAGCACAAAATTACTCAAATTACTTTTCTATTCATTACCAATAGAATAAATTAATGTAAACTCACATGGTAACATTTCTCATCAGTTATACTGCATGTTCAGGATAACCAGTAAATATTTGTATAGATCACTATTTCCTTCACATTATTTCTCTAAGCACAGTCAGACCTGTCTTTATTCTGCATATCAGAAACATTCATCAGCTGCAAAGTAAAAATTAAACTTATCAGTAGGAAATGAACAGCAATTTTGAAGTATCTAGTATAAATGTTTTTTACAATTTCTACTTATGAATTGTCAAGTAAATAGGGTGCAAAATATGTTATATGCAATTTTCATAATTTTAAGACTTCTTGATTCCATAGCTAGGTTAAATACCTTTTGAGACATTTAGCTTGTGTATTGCACTTGCTGATTTGTAAGACCTGCTAAGTCAAAAACAGCACGACCATTTCTAAAAAGTAGTGAATATTTGTCACACTGCCTTCAACACATTAGACTGGATAATACCAAATCTAGGTAATTTTTTGGGGTAAGCACATACACCAACAAATATCGTATCATATAAATAAATAAAACTGAATAAAAACTATTAGCAACTTTTTAGAAAAAAATCATGAAGTCCACAAGTTTTATTTAGAAAATGTTTGCAAATATCTACTGTGTTCAGTTCAAGTTTAAGTAACGTGTGACTTCTCACATTTGCACAAAACAACTTTTGAACTCACCATAAAAAATGTTACATATTACAAACCTTTATTAAGGACTCGGAACTGAAGAGACCCAGTGACGTCTCAAGGACATAAGAACTGGGAAATGAACAGACCTTAAGGAAAAAAGTTGTGAATATGGGAAGTTAATGGGACTGGCTCAGAATTGTGTCCAGGTTTACTATCCTCCTCAAGGATAGTTGTTACATTTGAAGTACATGTAGAAACTTGGTTGTTGTAGACAGCCAGCAAGTTGGTACTCACACTGAAAAATACTTCAACCATAAATAATTCATGGGGGAAAACTTGACAACATTTTGGTGAACATAATTTCCCAAACATACTAAACCATCAGCATCATCTTAAAATATAATTTACATAAAATACTCCAGAACCAAATGTCCACATTTTGTCTGTGGAGTAAGTTATGCATTTGCCTTAATTTTCACTTTCATTGTGTAGGATTTTTACCATTTCCAAACTACACTCCTCAGTCATTTGAAGGGTCTGAATATCATTGAATAGGCTTGTCACACAGTTATATCTGAGGATTAGACCCAGAACATGTTACTTACCTTTGATCAACTTCTTACAAGACTAAATATTCATAAAAATGTATTGTAATACAAAGAACTTTGAAAAAGGTCATCACTATAAACAAGAGTTAACACGTCTAAAATTCTAACACAAGATGTACCTGGCAAACTTCCTACACCTGTTCAGTTCTCTACTTCACAAACTTCTCTAGTCAAAAACTGTTCATGCTAGAAAAACATTCTCAGTATGAGGCACAGCCCAGAATCAGAGAAAAACAATGAACTCATTCAGTACTGAAATAGAGTAAGTACAGTAACTATATTCTTCTGAACCTATTTCAGAGAAACATGTATTGAAAAGTGTCAAAGGTTTTTCACAAGACACACAAAGAAATGGTAAGGAATTAGTTCAGTATGGATTCGGAATCACAGTACAGAAGTTGCATCCGTCTGCATTCATCCAAGGGAAACATAAAATCAGTCATTGAAACACGCATATACTTCAGAGTGGATGTATGCAATCAGATATTCTTCCAAGAAAACACTTGTTAAAAAGGTGTTCGTTATCTTTATTTAACAGCCCTCTGCTAAATAATACAGTACAGTTTAATACAACCTCTGAGGTGGTCCCATTGTGGACTTCACATGCAGTGAACGTACATTCTGCCAATGTTTCTTAAGTAAAGATACCAAGAAATTCACTGAGAGGTGAACATTCTGCACCAACTCATCTTCTGTCATACCCACATGGCCAACAGCGACAGACAGACATAGAACCTGTGAGATAATTTTTGCATTAATAAATTATGCTTCAGCTCAAACAGTAATACTGATCAACATGTTTTGTTATTTATTACATATATAAATACCCAAGTACCTCAAAATCCCTCCCAAATGTGTATACTTGATAATGTATAACTGGTAAGATGCTTACAAGAAAAAGAGGATTGTCCAACAGGTAAAATTTCTAGTCTTACTCAGTGTGATCCTATGACCCTTCAAATTGGAAGGAACCTTCAGAAGTGCAATTTCTGCATCATTCATTAGTGTTATAGTTAGGATGGTGAAGCACGTTGATAAACGTCGGAAATCTACTTGTTTACATGTAACAAGAAAAATGGATTCCAGTACAATCCTTCTGCATGAATATACAATCAAATATAATACAACCCTAAATCAAAGATAAACCCTCACAATAAAATGCTTTAAACATGAATGTGCACGTAAAACGAGATCTGGCATCAATGAATAGAGTAAACCAAACAAAACTATCACATTACAATACCTTCTTCATTTGGAATTTTATGGTAGCTTTCACTTCATCTATCTTAGCCATCATAGCTTCCTGATGTGACAGAAGCCCAGGAAACTTGCCGGCTTTATTTAGACCAGGGCCCAGAAGACGAGGGATTTGCTTGATCAATGCTTCACTTGCCAGGAATGCATCATATTTCTTCGCTGCAAGAAATCAAAATACAAGTTCTTCCTATACATCATCCTGGTTTCTTCCAATGATGACTTGGAAACAGACACATTTTCAAGAAATGAACAATAGGGATATCTGCAAAAGTGTGTGACTGGGTTATTCATTATAATTGAACTGCCATTACTGAATTAAAATTCAGTGTTTGGGAGTTGGTTTTACCATCTTCAAGCAATTAATTTGTCAATATACTAACATAGGACCTTGTAAATGCGATACTAGCATATTAATAACTTGACTTCCAAGGTAGTGAAGTACAGCCAGCTCTCAAAACATGTTTAAAATATATTTCAAAGGATAATGTCCAACACGATATTGGTATAAAGCTTACACTACACATACCCAGTTTCTTAACCCATTTCTTATTTTTATTCAGCTTTTTCAGGGCTTCCACATCCATGTATGGTACATTGTTGGCCTTAGCTTCATCACAATGCTGCTGGTCTCCAAGAATGCATACTTGCATTTTTGGCCGTGGAATATGTTTTAACCTAATGAGCAAACCAGATTATCAATACCATTATCACCACTAAACTTTTTCAACAGCCAGAATATTTACACAAATAAATGTTACATGTTGTACCAATGGAATTCTTAGATAAATAATGGTAACAAGTACAAAAAGGCAATGAAGAAGGCTTATCTTGCCTTTTTTCAGCCTGGTATTAAATATATAAAAATATACTTCAATGTGTGCCCTCAGTAAAAAATATACTGCTACATAGTAGTTTCAGATAATACATGCTAATTCCATCACTGAGCACTGAGCAAGTTACAATGTACTCTCTACAGCACAAAAGCAAGAACTATATTACTTACCCTTCTGTGCTATGAAACCCCTAAGACTAAGTTTACGGTAGTGTTTCCACTACCTCCCCAGTTATTTTAAGACCCTGGGTGCAGGTCTGCCAGGTGAAGCCCAGCTTCCTGACATGAAATGCCTTCACAATTCAAATTTGATTTTCAAAAGCATCTCAACATGGTGAAAACATACTTGACTGTGCCTGAGAAACGCTTATCTTTTTGGGGATCATAGTTCTTCAAGCCAATTTGAATTTCAACAGTCTCCAAAAAGTCTCTCTTCTTCTGCTGGGAATTCTTCAAAACAGCACCTATGCACTCATAGAGTGTATCACGAGAAACCTTAGAACTGTAAATCAAAACAGTAAAAAGAATTTTAAAATAAATATGATTAAAAATACAATGTACATACGAACAACTTCACAATGATACTGTATATGCGGCATATATAATCAAAAATAAATTGTGTATAAAAAGTCTGAATCACGATACATGGTAATTTAAGCCAGCACTAAAAAATCACCCACTCCTACTCCTTAGAATTTACCTCAACCAAAATTCTCGCCTATTATAAATACGTATGAGCAATAGTGGTTAGGTTTCCTTGTATAATTATTTATGCGGTAATATTACACATTAGTCATAACTATGTAATTTATATTCGTAATAGAAACTAGCACTGAATGTGTGTTCGTGTCCTGCATCGTTCGCTTAAACATATGAAGAATCTACGTAATGCAAATAAATTATATTCTATAATAGTCTTACATACAATAAATCACTTATGATCCAAATAACATAAATTTAATTGCAGATGTTGCAGATATTACTCGATATGTTTCCAACATACCTCATTATAAGCTTTCACCACACCACACTCCACAATCCTGCAACAAACGGAAGCGGAATTCATTCTCTTTGCTAATGTTAATAATCTATGGTCTCAAACAACCAACCATTGCAACCAACAACATTGTATTAAATAACACCAAATACTAAAAAAGTAATATGACAGAACCATAGAATATAATATAATAAATGGAAAGCACACAGTATGGATTATCTGCACTTTATCATTTTGATGCACATGTAATGAACAAACAGAAACCATAAAACTAAAACCTAATCATTCCCACTGAATTGTGTAGTTTGGTTATATTGTTCATTTTCTACCCATTGCCTCATCCTTGACACCAATAGCAAATAAATAAATCATAGTAATTTTTGTAGATGTTGAAATGCGAACAGTGTGCAAATTTAAGTTGTTGTTTGTTTGTTTTTCCCCTTATTTCGATCAGAGACTGTGTTCTGGACGAGCAACATATAGTAGACGGTATCTATGACAACCTACAGCCGAGGTTTGACTTTTGTAGTTGGTTATTTTGCTTTCGTGTCTTCTGCAGTTGGTGCACGTTGTATATTAATATGTAAATAAATATGGTGGTCGTGGCGTGTAATTTTATTTCTATGGCAGCTTTCAATATTAAGAAAGTCTGATTGATCTTTCAGAGCATGGAAGTATCTTCATTCCATGAAACTCTCTCTAGTACTGTATCTAAACCAGTGCAGCAGGGCATATATATGAGGGGAAATAGTTCACTTCGTACAAATCTGACACATTTTGTTCGAAGTAGTATAAAGGAAAAGTTGGATGGCATTGTTAATACCGAACTTGATAATGCAGGAGAAATTACTCCAAAAACATGGAAAATTGTGGCTCACAACATAACGAAATCTGTGAAATATTCTCCAACAATGACATCTTTGTTACAAAATATCCAGAGTACACTTCATTTAAGCATCAAAAGCTTCATATCATATACTGAAAATGATCCTATTTCCGACCTCCCAGTAGTCCAGTCAGCACTGCATAGACCTGTAAATAATGAAGTGCGGTGTCGTGAAAATGGTGACATGCTCCAGTGTGAGCAGTTGGATGTAGGTACCTCCCATCCCAGTTCCTTAAAAGTCAGGAAACAGGTACTTCACTCATTTCTTCAGTCTGTTCTCCCTGAAGTTACAGAAAATGATAGTTGGCCCCAGATACAACTTAATTTAAGACAGAATCTGTGTGAAAAAGACAACGAAGTATTCAATTTAAGCTTGATGGTCCATGCTAAATTAATGCAATCTTCTTCACAGGTTTGCATAAAGGAGGGTTTTATCAATCTTGTTGAAGGAATGCATTTGTTCTATTCTAGCAATCATAATCTCCTTCCCAGTTTTAAGAATGGTATAGATGTGACTAACCCTATTCATCACCATCTTAACCAAATCTCTCAACTGATTATTGAAGTAGTGAGAGAAATGGCAAAAAACTGGTTAAGATATGGTGAGCGACGTGTTGAAGAGGTAGCTGGAGCCTTTGTTAATTTGCTTTCTATGCATACTTATGATAACAGGTTTAATTTACCCAGAGACATAATGTTTCCATTCCATATTCTGTCTGTCTTGGATCCAAAAGCAAAGTGGTGCACACACTGGTTACATGGTGCCTTTGGTCGACATTTGTTTCTTAATACACTATCACAAAATTCGGCCTTCATCATATTCCTGGTTGGAGAAACACTTTCTTACTTGAAAATGTACCAAAATTACCACCCAGAATACATATCTCAGAACATTATATCAGGCAACAATGTGAAGTATGCAACATTTGCACACTCATTGTCTGTTTTAAGCAAAGTTATTTGCTATAAGAAAGGGCGACAGTTTTTTCCAGTTGCTGTAAAGACCACATCTGAACTAATTTCTTTAGATGTTATTCTTGTTAGAATGATCACATACATGAACTTAGAAAGTAACTACAAAGCTGCAATACTTACACCACCATCAGGATCTGAAGTTTTAATGGAATTCATTAAGAAGCTTTTGAAAAATGGAGATGATGAAATTAGTGACAGCTTGATAGAAACAATAATAGAACCTATACAAAATGAAAGCATTCAATCACTGAAATGTAGTAATATACCATGTCATACCATAGACATACTACATCAGTTGTCTGGTAGCAGCAATGGAATCTCCTGCCTTCTAGGAAGCAGGCAGAAATGTAGGAAATTCACTGCAAAACTATGTAGCAATCACAGGAGTACCAACACATCTGCTGCTGGAATGAGGAAGAATAGATACATGAGCATTTCATTAGAGAGAGATTTTTCAGCCAAATCCATTAGAATTCCCAGCAGTACTAACACTAACGTTTCCAGTCCAGCAAAAATTATTGTTCATACTACAACCATTCTCTTGAGCAACCAAGACATGTCAAACATGGATGCACTTCTGTCATTGGTTGAAATATGTAGTAAACTTTTTAGGATACATGAAGGTTTGTCTGTGTTGGATGCAATGAATTCACACCTAATATCAACTGTTATTGATTTATACAAACAACTGTCCTCCAAGAATGATCCCAGCAGATATAGTTCAACCTATGGACACACTTTAAGAACTCAAGATTATGATATTCAGTCACATGCCTTATATATGTAAGTAATACATTTTGAGTGTTTATCACAACCAGTTTCAAAAATTATGCATGTTAGTTTTATAATATGTTTATTTTCCACATTCCAGGTAGACTGAATTTGAAGCTGACATATTAACTGACTTCTTTTGTGTATAAGCAGGATTTAAGTTGACAAATATGGCTGAAACCTTTATTTTTGATGAGATCTTATAATATTTTGAACAGTATTTGTCTGTATGTTTCATATTTTTATGACCTATTCCACATCCTGTTGTTATTCTGACTAACGTTTAGGTCCATGGAATGTATATTAATGTATGTATTAACATACATATCCAAAATGATGCAATGAAAATCCAATACTACATTATGTGTGGAGTTTTCTCAGTGCATCTTCATGGTATGTGCTTAAGCAGAAAATTATGAGTGTTCAGTGTTGGATAGTATACCAATTAACTTTAGCTAGTAAACAATAACAATCAAATTAATTATTTGTTGCTTTCTATAAACCACTAAGAGTCAATTTTAATTCCACTGCTTTCACAGATATGTGACCAAATTCGTGCATAGAGTTCTGTATGGAATCAGAAAATTTACTCATATATGAGTACATATAGCGTGAGTCATTTTTTGTCTTTGAACCCATTACTGACAAAGGAAACACAAAATGAAGAGAGGTTGCAGAGTTTAAGGAAATAATTTCAGCTGTATACATTATAATTTGAACAGATTTTTGTCAGTATAACTAATATTAATATCTGAAATACGCTCAGCTAAATTCAAGTTGCAATACTTCATCTTAGTGTCAGAAATGTGACACTAGTATGTCCAGATATTAAACTTGCAACCTACATTTTTTTTTATTTTGTTAATCAGTCACATGACAACAAAAAGCCCCTGTTCTTAAACATTACATCATGGAAAAACTTAGACCATCATTAAAAAAGCTGCTTAAATTGTATTAATTAATTTACATATTACACAGATCTCAATTCCTCTGACTCACTGAGGAAGTGCCTGGTTTGAATTATGCTGGTAACTTAATAATTTTCATCAGTGCCTGTATATAGATGATTTAGCAGTGCCTTAAAATATAGACTACAGTCACTTTCTTCCATCTCCCTCCTTATTCACCTCTCATAATCATTCTATCATGTATTATTCAAGGCTGTTAAACTTCAGTACTTGATTTGTTCCATAAAACAACCAATAAATTTGTCCCTTGACAGGTCCTTGGTAAGCTTCCTGACTGAAGTTGCATCTACACCGTGTGGTGTTTTTGCATTGGCTCAAGACGGTTTTGTCCTCCAAGACTTGCTCACAACACTTCTCCAGCCTTCCCATGTTTCATGGGAGGATCCACACTTCAGGCATATAGTTTCTCTGATTACTACTGTGTCTCAGGGTATAAGTGTATTAGCTGAAGAGAGTCACAGAATTCTGGCTAGACCATTATGCAATCTTTGGAGTGAATATGAAGATCTCATGGCATTGATCACTGGTTCAGAGCAGAAGCAGTTTGAGGCCACACAGCATTTCATGAATATTATATGCACCTTCGTTCTGAATCTGCAAGGTGAATTCCAAAACTTTCTTCTGAATATTCATAAAATGTATAGGCTTATATTTGCACACACATGCACCATCTCTAAACTCCATGTGCACACACTTCTTTATTTTCACATACACCCACGCTTTGTCTCCCTCAATTGTCTATCTTTCTTCCCCTGGTTATATCTGGGACCTGCAGGAACAAAAATGTTTTAAACATATTGCATATAAAAGATTAAAGGGAACCTTTGATTTTCTATGGGAGTGGATAGGAGAGAGGAAGTGCCTGGTTTGAATTATGCTGGTAACTTAATAATTTTCATCAGTGCCTGTATATAGATGATTTAGCAGTGCCTTAAAATATAGACTACAGTCACTTTCTTCCATCTCCCTCCTTATTCACCTCTCATAATCATTCTATCATGTATTATTCAAGGCTGTTAAACTTCAGTACTTGATTTGTTCCATAAAACAACCAATAAATTTGTCCCTTGACAGGTCCTTGGTAAGCTTCCTGACTGAAGTTGCATCTACACCGTGTGGTGTTTTTGCATTGGCTCAAGACGGTTTTGTCCTCCAAGACTTGCTCACAACACTTCTCCAGCCTTCCCATGTTTCATGGGAGGATCCACACTTCAGGCATATAGTTTCTCTGATTACTACTGTGTCTCAGGGTATAAGTGTATTAGCTGAAGAGAGTCACAGAATTCTGGCTAGACCATTATGCAATCTTTGGAGTGAATATGAAGATCTCATGGCATTGATCACTGGTTCAGAGCAGAAGCAGTTTGAGGCCACACAGCATTTCATGAATATTATATGCACCTTCGTTCTGAATCTGCAAGGTGAATTCCAAAACTTTCTTCTGAATATTCATAAAATGTATAGGCTTATATTTGCACACACATGCACCATCTCTAAACTCCATGTGCACACACTTCTTTATTTTCACATACACCCACGCTTTGTCTCCCTCAATTGTCTATCTTTCTTCCCCTGGTTATATCTGGGACCTGCAGGAACAAAAATGTTTTAAACATATTGCATATAAAAGATTAAAGGGAACCTTTGATTTTCTATGGGAGTGGATAGGAGAATTCTTGTGTGTTTTCTTTTTATGTGTAATCTTCTTCTTCTTCTATGGCTCTCCAGTCCGTATTCGGTCCATGGCCTCCTCAATTCGCCTCTTCCATTCGGTCCTCTGTTAGGTCCGTCTGTCCGAGGCTTTGATCGAGGTTTCGAAACATCTTCCTTTTTACGGTGCAAGGTTGTTAGCCTTGCACCAACAACCAACCTGGAGGACCAGGGTACCTGTCTTAGTCTGACCTCTCCCCCTCAACCAATCTGGCTAGGGAGGCCCTACCAGTAGCTATGCTACTGCCAGCATAGCTCTTGGGATCACTGAGGTACTCAAGCCCCAGAAGAAGATTACACATAAAAAGAAAACACACAAGAATGTGTAATGTTGCATGAAATACATTTTTAAGACACAGTCGTGTTTATATTTATGAATGATGCAACACATTACATAAAACTTTTATTTTTTAGGCATTGCATCTCTTCTTTCTGATCCTGAGAGCAGCAGCAGTGAAGGCACTCTGGTGGAAGCTGATCCAGGTCCCACAACCTTATCAGAACTACTAACATTGGAGAGCAGTGTAGAGCCCTGGCACTACATTAGCTTATTAACTTTGAGGGCTCTTACTACAAATATGGATGTCTGTTTGTATCTCAACAACACTATTAAGTTTCAGGCATGAATAATGATTTCTCATTTGCTTTATGAATAAGGTAGAAAGACTTCCAGTACACCCGCAGTGTGTGACACAAATGCTTTTGGAGATCAGGTCTGTAGATATGATTCATTGTCTTAAGTGTTTCCTATGAATATTCGAGAGAGAATATCTGAACCAGCATGAAATAATATTATACATTTGGAAAATGTGAACTATAATCTTCAATTCAACACATACTTTTAACTTAAAGCCTTCTTAGTTTATGTAATTATTACAGACATAATTAAACCTGCTACTAAAATCAATAATAAAACTGCACTGTGGGATTACTGTTGGACGTGGAAGAATAAACTCTAGTTATGTAAGTTACAGAAGAAAATGTTTCAGATTGATTAAATTAGAAATTTACATCTTCAGAAGTTAAATTGTTTTAAACCAAAATTTCTGATACTATTATCATATATAAAGAATTTAATATTGTCATAGTGTATGGTGCATTGAGAAAACAGAAAAATCAGTTGATATTGTTTCCTTTTTCTCAAACAGGAGAAACTTTTAAAGCTTCAGTCTGAAAATATAACTTTTGACTCAGACATAACAGAAACAGAAGGAACAAGAGTGAAATCAAGTTCTGCTAATAAATTCATTATAATTGACCAATGTAGCCTGATGAGGCACCAGATTCTCGTAGCAACATATATAGTGGGTGGCCCCAGAGAACGAATACTACCTCCAACCATTATAGATACTGATGGAAATGGTGAGTCAGGCTTGTTTTGTACCTTGCCACCTCCACAGCTCACATCAGCAGCAAAGAAAAAGAGAAGTACTCAACCCAGAGGTCAGACTGATTTTCAGAGGTTCCTCCAAGATACTAAACAAGGTGTTCATGATGCCAATTGGCTCTCTCATGCCAGGAGAGCATACAAGGCTTCGTTCAACATTGACATAAAGGTATGTTCACACAGTGGTAATGCAAATGACACATTTTAGAGACACACAGTTCAGGTGTCTGAGTGTGAAATTCAGTCTCTCTTACTGAAGGAAGAACAAAGATTGAAAACAATGTGACAAAAGAAACATTTTGACCAAAGAAAATTATCTGATAGGTGGAAAATGTTACATATTGAAGCATGTTAAGGTATGTTGTGATGTTTATGCTTATCTGAACACTATTTTGCAGGCTTGTGTGCTCATAGATCTACTTGAACAAGCTGCAAAGTTAAGCTGTAATTCAGAGTCTTATTTAAATTCACCAATGCAAATATATGAAAGTGATGTACTGTTTCCAGAAGAATGTCTTGGAATACAAGTTGCCATCAGGTCAGATATATATTGGTTATTATTTTAGATGATAACTAGATTAGGAACAGATCTGGGACACTTGCTGAATGTAAGATGTGACTTGCTCTGAAGACATGATGGAACTTCCTTGTAGAACTCCCTCAGAATGAAAGGACTCGGATTCAAATAAGATAATTTTTTTGTGTACATATGTGTAAACAATTAAAAACATGGCAACAGTGAAGGTGATAACATAATTGGAATTTTTGTATTAGTGTAAATTATGCACTGAAACAGAGCAATAAATATCACAATAATTAGATAATAATTATTGCTACCCTCACTGTATAGACTGAAAAATATGATGCAAAACAGGCTTTATAAATTCTTCCCAAAAGCTTGTTTTAATATTGGTTTACATTACTATACTGCTGTAATTTAGTATTTCATAAAATGTGAGCTAATTTAAAATTGTATGTTAAACAGGTATGGACTGGAGCTTCATCTACTCCAAGAAAATTCACAAAATGAAGAAAACCTAACTCAGCTCATCCATTTGTCTCACAACCTCCTCAGGCATAAAAAATGTGAAACATTTCAGGGATTTGACTGGTTCATGGCCACTTTGTTTCTGTTGTGTGGAGGCAATGTGGAAAGGTGCGTGTTGACAGAATGACAAAACATGAGCATTCATTCATTGCCCATGTTTTTTCGGACCTCATTCTTCAGTTTACTTCTTATTCAGAACGTTCAATGTGGAATAAATATCCAGTGTAATTTATCTGTGTATATGGTAAGGTAACTTCAGACTGAGAGTATTTCACTTGTATGAAATGAAATGAAATACTCTACCAGTCTGTAGTCACCTTACCAGAATTTTTACACATAAATACTTAATATGTAACAATTTTCATTCTTTATGCAGATGTCACAGTTGTATAAAAAGCATATCATCCTTAGCTGTGGCACCATTTTTATGGCCTGCTCTTGCTACAGCTAAAGATCAGTGTACCTTCTCACAGCATTTGGTTATGTTTGGTCACAAACTTGAACTGCTAGTCAAAATGGAATTGCCGCTAGCTTTCTCTGCACTTCAGGTAATATTATAATTTTTATTTATATAATCATATTTAATTGAATTATTACTATTACAAGTACTACTACTACTACACAGCAATATGCAGATAAGGTACTGAAGATTGGAAAGGATATCAATTCACTGAGGAAGATAATTAATTTTCCAAGTATTTTCAAACTTGACTTATCAAAACTGCTATTAAATATGTTATTATGTATTTTCTGCAACAGAATGATGAAAATGAATGTCAGTAAGTAATTCTGTTATGTGTCGGACACAAATACATTGCTTCAAAGTTTTTAAGAGCTATACAGAATCTGAAATTATTTCACCTTGAATTTTATTAAATGTTCATCATATCAAAACATTTAAAATAAAGGATGTATATCTCAATGAGATGTATATTGTATGGCATGCACTAATTTGCTGGTATGATGCGCCATTTTTGAGAAAATTATGTTGAATTTGAACTTCATGTAAAGAAAGGCTATGGATCAATATGAACCAAAAATAAATCGACTTCATGTTCTTGTGTAGATTGTCACTGGCCCTACCCTAAGTCAGCTCAATCCATATTATATTAGATAAATGTTATTTCTTCCTTGTGCAAGTCTGAACATGTTTAATTCATTCAAACTCTGAATTTGTGTGTTTGTATTTAAAGAAGTGGCGAATAGTAATTTGTTTGATTCAGCTTGCTGGAGCATCTTGGTGGCTCATCTGTCGACAGTGGATGGCTCAGTGTTTCTGGAACATACTTGATTGGTCCCAGATTTGTCATTGGCTAGTTGTTAGTGTTTTAAACCAGCCTGACTTTACATTATATTTCTGCGTAAGTTTGTTGCGACATATAGAACCAAAAATCCTGCAAGCTGCAAGTGAAGGAAAGCTTTGGGAACAGATAATGGTATGTATATAACACACACCTAAGGAATAAATACTCCATCCTACATCATTTTAATAAATAATTCTCTAGAACTAGTAATTTTTTCTCCACTAAACTTCAATTCAGTTGTTTGTCCCAATGTCAAACTAAAGTTCTTATGTGGACATTCTCCAAAAACATGATGATACTTGCAATGAATGTGAAATATGGATTCAGATTTATTTAACCACAAAAAACACTGAACCTTCCTCTATATATGAAACACGGCCACTGAATTACCTACATTATTCGTATAATGGCCTGTATCATCCACTACAATGCCAGACACAACATATTTCGTGCAAACTATGAGGGTACCTTTTGTATCACGTTTCTAGCATTAATTATTAAAAAGTTAAAATCTTGAATCATAACTTTATAGACACTGCATCATACTATATTTTTCCTCCAAATAATGTTCATTTCACAGCACTATAATTACAAAACTATTTATTATTTTCTTTTTCAGTTTGCTCCAATGGAGGGATATCATATTGGTGATCAGCTTACATTCATGGAAAAATTATCAAAACGTTATCGCACTTCTGTGCTTCATCATTTGTTACCTTCATCAAATAATACTGCTTGATGAGTACATCCAAATGAAACACAACTCACCTCAAGATATTTATATGATATTTTGAAATGTTGTATAGATCTTTGTGTGCTGAGAGGTTGTGACTGGGAATGTTCAGGTTTTGCAATCTATGATATGATAAGTAGTACTATATGGGGGTCTAAGAGTTACAGAACACAAATATACAACTCAATGCTATAGGCTGGAAACATTACATCATGCATACTGTTCTGTCATCTATGTGTCAAGAATGGGTACTAGATCAGCATCTGTGGCTGTAACAATAACTCAGAAGGTATTAAAACGAACTATTATTCAACCACCAAAATTTTCTTTTTTTGGTGAGATTTCATTCATGTTGCTAAATATTACCAGCTTTTCTCCAGACAAGCCAAAAGTTGAGTCAGAGATAACACTCCTAACTTTGGGCCAAGAGCATGGCACTGTGTTACTTGCCACTTGATCCACCACCAATCACACTTGAAAGACTTGAGGTTCTCACAGCGGTGAATATGAAGATTTCTGTCTTCTGGGTTATTGCGCTGGGTAGTCTGGTCGATGTTAACCAACGTTTCTGAGGTCATACTGCCTCCGTCATCAGGGCGATAAGTATGAAGATTTCTGTCTTCTGGGTTATTGCGCTGGGTAGTCTGGTCGATGTTAACCAACGTTTCTGAGGTCATACTGCCTCCGTCATCAGGGCGATAAGTATGAAGATTTCTGTCTTCTGGGTTATTGCGCTGGGTAGTCTGGTCGATGTTAACCAACGTTTCTGAGGTCATACTGCCTCCGTCATCAGGGCGATAAGTATGAAGATTTCTGTCTTCTGGGTTATTGCGCTGGGTAGTCTGGTCGATGTTAACCAACGTTTCTGAGGTCATACTGCCTCCGTCATCAGGGCGATAAGTATGAAGATTTCTGTCTTCTGGGTTATTGCGCTGGGTAGTCTGGTCGATGTTAACCAACGTTTCTGAGGTCATACTGCCTCCGTCATCAGGGCGATAAGTATGAAGATTTCTGTCTTCTGGGTTATTGCGCTGGGTAGTCTGGTCGATGTTAACCAACGTTTCTGAGGTCATACTGCCTCCGTCATCAGGGCGATAAGTATGAAGATTTCTGTCTTCTGGGTTATTGCGCTGGGTAGTCTGGTCGATGTTAACCAACGTTTCTGAGGTCATACTGCCTCCGTCATCAGGGCGATAAGTATGAAGATTTCTGTCTTCTGGGTTATTGCGCTGGGTAGTCTGGTCGATGTTAACCAACGTTTCTGAGGTCATACTGCCTCCGTCATCAGGGCGATAAGTATGAAGATTTCTGTCTTCTGGGTTATTGCGCTGGGTAGTCTGGTCGATGTTAACCAACGTTTCTGAGGTCATACTGCCTCCGTCATCAGGGCGATAAGTATGAAGATTTCTGTCTTCTGGGTTATTGCGCTGGGTAGTCTGGTCGATGTTAACCAACGTTTCTGAGGTCATACTGCCTCCGTCATCAGGGCGATAAGTATGAAGATTTCTGTCTTCTGGGTTATTGCGCTGGGTAGTCTGGTCGATGTTAACCAACGTTTCTGAGGTCATACTGCCTCCGTCATCAGGGCGATAAGTATGAAGATTTCTGTCTTCTGGGTTATTGCGCTGGGTAGTCTGGTCGATGTTAACCAACGTTTCTGAGGTCATACTGCCTCCGTCATCAGGGCGATAAGTATGAAGATTTCTGTCTTCTGGGTTATTGCGCTGGGTAGTCTGGTCGATGTTAACCAACGTTTCTGAGGTCATACTGCCTCCGTCATCAGGGCGATAAGTATGAAGATTTCTGTCTTCTGGGTTATTGCGCTGGGTAGTCTGGTCGATGTTAACCAACGTTTCTGAGGTCATACTGCCTCCGTCATCAGGGCGATAAGTATGAAGATTTCTGTCTTCTGGGTTATTGCGCTGGGTAGTCTGGTCGATGTTAACCAACGTTTCTGAGGTCATACTGCCTCCGTCATCAGGGCGATAAGTATGAAGATTTCTGTCTTCTGGGTTATTGCGCTGGGTAGTCTGGTCGATGTTAACCAACGTTTCTGAGGTCATACTGCCTCCGTCATCAGGGCGATAAGTATGAAGATTTCTGTCTTCTGGGTTATTGCGCTGGGTAGTCTGGTCGATGTTAACCAACGTTTCTGAGGTCATACTGCCTCCGTCATCAGGGCGATAAGTATGAAGATTTCTGTCTTCTGAGCAAGAGTGCGCCGCCAGAACCAACCAGACCACTAACTCGGCCCTTTTCAGGGCCTTTATCCATACAACTACACTCACCTTTCTCTCTCTACTTTCTCTCCCTCTCCCACCCTCGCCCACGTGCTACCATTGGTCCACTCCCATACCTGCTCCCATTGGCTCGGGGCAGGCTACCCCTTTCACTTCCCTGCCTATAAAATCCAACTCCTCACACCCTATTGGCATATTCATCGCCCTGCTGACGGAGGCAGTATGACCTCAGAAACGTTGGTTAACATCGACCAGACTACACAGCGCGATAACCCAGAAGACAGAAATCTTCAATCACACTTGAAGTTTGCTCATCACTTGTATCCATCAGACAGAGAAAATTACTTCCTCAGCATTGTAAGAAATCCTGAAGACATATGAATAAGTCTAAATAGAGAGACTATTTTAATGATAGTGATAAAATGTAAGGTTATTGATCCTAGACAACTTTCATGTCACAGAGGACCAATTACAAACTTCAAGGCTCAAATTCTGGCAAAACAGACAGAACTATTACACTAAGCATACAGTCTGTACCATGTTTGACATAACCAAACATACTGTATACAGTTTGTGCCTGCAAGACTAGCTCTTTAAAGAGCATGTATATTTCATACTTTTCTCTAGTTTAGTAATAACTTAAAATAAAATGTATACAGTATGTTGAGAATTGTTTTAACTTTTCAATAAAATTATAATCCTTTGATAGTTTCAATCTTAGTATACATACATATATAATTGATATTAAATGCACAGAATAATTATAACTCAGAATTACAGTACCAAATCAGGGTCACACTGAAAACCAACATTTTACAACTCAGAAAATATAGACTAAATTCTGATGTCTTCATTCACGATACTGCAATATTACAGCTGCCAGATTGTAATGAAAATAATTGTCACCAAATGTTTAAAATGGTCTCCTGTACACTGGGAAAAAAAGAGGAAACATTAACATGAGTATAAAAAAGGAATGGAAAATGAGCACATTCAAATTCATGAGCAAATAGCACTACAATCAACCACCACTCAATTATTTTGTAAATATGTGACAGTTACAATGAAGTCTTCTCAGGTGATGCATGAATGGAGTTACAATCGAACATTTCAGAAAATGTCTCTGAAACACTGGATTGTAGCTCTGTACTTACAAGGCTGATTGAGAAGACTTTAAAGCATCCAATCACCATGAATGCTTCAAAACATATGTGACAGTTATTACCTGGACTCATGTATGGGGCAGTAGAATGATCAACTGCACTGCAGGCTACCACATTCCCACCACTATCATGTCACATGGCTCCAGGTACTATGAGGACGTCTGTTGAGCGCAGGACTTGAATTCCCCGATGAAGGCAACATACTCGTGCAAAACCATTTTGCACCAAGTGCTTACCAAACTGAAATACATTTTCTTAATTAAACTTCACCACAACAGAAAGCAGCAGATATAATAACATCAGGCAATTTATAAAAATATGCAGTTTTTATGTATACTCTACTCTCATAACTCTCTTCCCATCTATTTCCCTTTCATATTTTATAGATACAGATTTAGTTGCAATTAAAACCATGTCATAAAATGTGTTAACTTACATTGTGAGAAAAACATAAATCACAAATATCTTGGAAAAGTGCTAAGAAAAATAAATCATATTTGAATCAAAGAGGATTTAAGTGAGTGGAAAATGTATGAAACTGAACAATCTGGAAGAATTCTACAATTTAAAAAGGTAACCTAGTTTTGATGTTTGATGGGTTAGGACTGTACCTGAGATGAAGAAATATGTGCACATTTTGGTGAAGATACCTTCTAAAAAACAGCCATTTGGGAGACCAAGGACATGAGAACATAACATAAAGATGAATCTTTGGGAAAATTGGCTGGTGGATGAACTATCTCAGAATCACATCCACCGGTAGACTGTTCTTCATGGTGCTACATCTTCAAATTCTCTTCGCAGAGAGTTGAGTGATTATGAAGCACTGATTGAATGATGGCTGGCAGAGGTAACTTGAAATACTCAGGAGAATCTGCCCTAGCAACACTTTGCTACAAATCCTAGGTGGACTACTCTAGAGAGACCCTGCAGTTCAGTGGTAATAAGCTGGCATCCATCTGTTTGAGCTATGGATGGTTTTCCTCCTCAAAGGGTTAAATATTCACTGACGAGGAAAGGGTCCAATTTTCTGTCATGACATTTCCTTCCTACATCCTCGTCTTTGACTTTGCTTTCTTTCCTTTCTTGATACATATAACAACATATCTATAATTAACCTATGCTTCCAGGGTGAAACCATATCAACTGTTGAAGGTTTTTCAATGTTCTGTAAAAAACAGCAGGTACCATCTTCAGGGTAAATTACGGTGAATGCTAAAGTAATACATAAAATCGAGCCACTAAAACTAAGGGCAAGAATAACTCATGCCAACTCACCTGTGCTGAATGCAATGCATGAGCCCCCAAAATCACAATTATGCGTCCTTTGCTGGCCTGAAGTGTACTCAATTCAGGGACCGATGCAGAAGACCAAGGAATGTGGATGCTTCCTGCCACAGTACCACGGCTGTATTCTTCCACAGCACGTATGTCCACAGTGACTACTTTGGACTTCTTCTTTTGTAAGAGTTCTAGCAGGTCAGCACCACTAATGCGAGGACACAATTCAGACTGTAGCTCAGCTACTGGCAAAGGACTCATTACCTACATAAACGAAACACAAGAGATTATAAGGCATTCAAAATACAAATCATCCTCATTTGTAGCTCCCCTGGGAGGAAATAGATTCAAAAACTAAACTGTGGAAAACATTAACTCAGAATAAGAGGATATAATGAAGTATTCTTCAGTGGCCAGTAGTAAATGCCTGATTCTGCCCACTCTTCCCCTACTGGTTTAATGTGCATGAGCATCACTGACCTAACCTAACCTAAAAAACACAACCCAACTTACTGTTAACAGATCCCACTGCATCCGACCATTGTGCATATTTGTCTGCACATGACAATTGCATTTGGTCCTCTGTCACTGACCTAAACTTACCCCAACTTACTGATAACTTACCCCCATTCCATCTGACCATTGTGCATGGTCATCTGTGCATAAGCATTGCACATAATTTTCTGTGCATGCATGTCAGTGACCTAACTAACCAAACCCAAATTCATGACACACCGCCACTGCATCAGACCATTGCGCATGAACAAAACTCATGGTGGATGTGCATCACTGGCCTGACTTAACAGAACCCAGTTTACTGATAACAGACCCTGTTTCCATCTTACCACTGACCAAAGTGCATGGTCTGTTCCATTCTGAGGTGAAAAGGTGGAGAATTATGTTCAGTTGAGTATTTCCCACCTTTTCATCTAAGGATGGATGTTTTCCAGAATGTTTTGTTCTTTTCACAATACCATATGACTGTCTAGACATGTGACATGTGACAGTCTAGAATTCCAGTAACAGTAATTGTAATACACCGCTGTCAAAACCCTTTAGAATTAATTTTTCCAATGTATACTAATTGTATCAATAATCTGATCCCACAAATAATTTATATCAACAATCAGAGAATATTAAAGAACTAACCAGCTCTGTGTTTATTTCATTATCAGCTGATGCGTCAGGCTGCAGTTCATGTTGCCGATATGTAACGCTGCGTGGGGTGCTGCAGTACAGTTCAATGGAGTCTGTTACACATCGTTCCATGTCAATCTCTGCACAAAGAAGTCTTTATGAAGATTATTCTGGTATTCTAGGTGACTAATGAATGGAAACAGATGCTATCATTATCAAACTCCTACTTCTTAAGAATGAAATTTGTATTTATTTTTATTTGTACATTTTTGGTCTTTTAGTAAATATCAATACAACTAACATATAAGCATAACAGAAAATTAAAATCAGCAACAAGTCATAATATAAATACATGCAATACTATGTAAACAATTTGGAAACATGTAAAATCCATCTGGAAATAACAACAGCAAATAGAAATTTGGGAAAAAAAGATAAAATTAAAATAATAATAGATTCTTAAAATGCTTATTATTTCATTCAATAATTATCTTCCATTTTCAAAGCACTAAAACCAGGATATGATATAGAGCAGAATATACTCATATGATCTCTGATGTATGTATGATGAAGTAAGTGAACAAATTAGGGTACCAGTATTAAATCACATGGGACTCTATGCTATACACAAGTCACCTGTGCTGTTAGGATATTGAAATGCAGATTATTATGAGCTGGACATACAGCTAGGCTGGAGGAAATAACCTCTTGGCAAATGACCACTTGGAAGACCAAGGAGTGGATAAGAGGAAATATTAAGATGGATATTTGCTGAACAGGCCGAGGATGTGAGGTGACAAAAGTGGCTCAAGATTCAGTACGTTTTATTCTTATTTTCTACATAAAATCATATATTTTTAAATTAAATGAACTTGATGTTTGTAACTGAACTTTTAATTTACAAAGGCTAGGCAATGAGTTCAGCATATCTCTATAGTCAGGCTGAGGCAGTGTGACTGTAAACAAATCAAAGTAAACTTTCAGCCAGCATTTCCCCTCATTAATCTGTGTATAGTTCAAGGCTAATTTACCTACTGCTTGAAACTGTAATTCTTGTGCAGGCCTCAGAAAATTGTAAATAATTAGTTTCAACATATGCAAAGTAAATGTGCCCTTCAGAGCACCTACCTGGTAAATCAGAAAAGAGGAGGATACATTCATTAAATCCAGATTCTAGTAATGTGTCTCTGAGTTGCTGCAAGATTGCCAACCCAATATAGAGTGGGAATGAAGCATCTCCAAGAAGAAGTTTGTCCCAAAGATGAAAAATTTTATGCAATGGGAATACATCTGAAATATAAATAAATTTATTAAATTCAATATAAACATTTTATAAGACAATCATATTTTGTATGTAAGAGAATCCTAACCTGGAACTTTTTCAAGCAAAAATTTGAAAACATACTGAAATCTTCTTTGCAAGAGAGGAAGTCAGGATGTATTATCATTTACACACTAATCCTGGTTGAGGTAATGGCATCATTATGAATAAAAATGATATTATTTTTGTACTACAACATCCCAAATTTTGGAACTAGATCTATGGTCTATAACTGCATAAATATAAAGATTTTATAAAGTTCTATCATAATATCCTAATAAACATAAATTGTACATAAAAGAATAAATCCTGAATAACAAATTATTATACTTATTTAAGCTTCTCTTCTTATTATCATGCTACTTACGTGAGAACATGGTGAGAAACCAGGGAATAGCAAATAGTTCTGGTATAAAGTTAATTCCAACCAAGTGATTTTCTAGTGCTGGATCATGGAATGCTATCAAATGAGAGAACTTGGCCAGGTATTCCTGTATCACTGCTGTATTATCCTTCAGGAAGAAGTTATGTAGGTACTTTGGAATGAAAGCTGAGAGGCATGCAAATGCTTGCGCTAGATAAAACAGGAAACATATTAATGACATGAATTTAACTCAGCAATGCAGTTTAATATTACAGTTTTTATTCTAACTCCACAAAAATATTACTCATTTACAACTTTCATGTTCTATTATAGTCATCTTCAGGTTCACACACAGTTATCTGCATGTAATAGACAAGTGTTAAAACCTCAGCCATACTGACTAATGTTTTTTGTGGTTTTCCTCTGTCCCTCCAGGCAAACACTGGGATAATACCTTAAATTAGGTCATGACTGCTTCCTTCCACACACTTTCCAATTCACTGTTCATTAATTATAAAACTTGATACCACATAGTCTTTGCTACTGAAAGTATAATTAAATAAAACACAAATATCAACTGTAATATTGTTTAAATACAGAATATTCATTAACACAGGTATACAAATATTTTTAGATTTATAGTACCTTAGAAAGCATATAATGACTGTAAATGTTTATTTAGTAACAGATTTAAAGCATGTTATATCCATGTAAAGCACGTTAAGCATATGGACAAAAAAACTCAGATAATCTTAAAATTCCAAGAATGTGCCAACCAGACTTACCTTCATTGTTAAAATTAAGGTACAAAAAGGGTGCACACAGGGAGTCAAGTCCTTGCCAGTACACATACTGGGGGTGACTTACCACCCAAGCTTTAAGTACACGTCTAAACTTCCGGTGTCCCTCACAAGAAGAGAGCAGTTCGTCATACTGGTGACAGCGTGGGATGTCCACTTCAATCTGTCACATAAAAAAAACTGTGATAACAAAACAAGTAAAATATTATTTCTCTTCATACAAGAGAGAGAAGAAATATCAGTCTGAAACACTTCACCTTTTTTATGAATCTGAATATGCCAAGACACCTGAAGAATATAAGTTCATACAGAATACAAATTATGGAAGTCTTTTGGTATGTAATTTCATCCATCTATTTCTTTCTCTTTCCCGGAAACTATACAATTCCTCAAAACTCAAATTAATGGAAAAAATAATTTATTTACAGTTTCAATTCTTAATCACTTTTTTCCCCACTCACTATCGTTTTAAATTAAAAAACATGCACCAGTCAACCACCCTTACCTGCTGTACTATTAATAACACTACTACAGATATAGTACAGATCTTTGGTACATGTACTAAAGTCATGTACACTGTACTACTGGTTATGCAAACACTCATCCTAACAAAGTGATTTGCTTTCCACAAAACAAGAAAATCACTCCTTTTTCAGATGCTAAATTATGAAGAGAATCCTTGATTACTTTTAAAAAATACAGTAAGCTGAAGTACACAATGACCTGTCTGTCGGTATGAGTGGGGGTTTCCTTATCCACTGCCACATAATACCCATCCACATCACCATCAACTTCCAGCAAGGCTGCCCATATATGTCCACGATACAACGGTGGTATATCCTTGTGAGCTTCTTTAAGAATTGCTGCCTTTTTATAAGGATAACCCTGTACACAGGAAACAGTGAACAATTACAGGCAGTTAATTAAATTATAAAATGGAAGCAGTTGTATAAATTTGGTTATCACAAGACTCACTCTCAGTTTACTTCACAGCCTCTTATTACAATTTCCAACATCTCACTGAAAATTCTAATATTAATTTATGGAACACAGATCTGAATAAAAAGTCAGCTTAACATACATGCTTGAAACAGTAATGACTCGACAACGAAAACTTATCATGGCATCATTATGAATAAAAATGATATTATTTTTGTACTACAACATCCCAAATTTTGGAACTAGATCTATGGTCTATAACTGCATAAATATAAAGATTTTATAAAGTTCTATCATAATATCCTAATAAACATAAATTGTACATAAAAGAATAAATCCTGAATAACAAATTATTATACTTATTTAAGCTTCTCTTCTTATTATCATGCTACTTACGTGAGAACATGGTGAGAAACCAGGGAATAGCAAATAGTTCTGGTATAAAGTTAATTCCAACCAAGTGATTTTCTAGTGCTGGATCATGGAATGCTATCAAATGAGAGAACTTGGCCAGGTATTCCTGTATCACTGCTGTATTATCCTTCAGGAAGAAGTTATGTAGGTACTTTGGAATGAAAGCTGAGAGGCATGCAAATGCTTGCGCTAGATAAAACAGGAAACATATTAATGACATGAATTTAACTCAGCAATGCAGTTTAATATTACAGTTTTTATTCTAACTCCACAAAAATATTACTCATTTACAACTTTCATGTTCTATTATAGTCATCTTCAGGTTCACACACAGTTATCTGCATGTAATAGACAAGTGTTAAAACCTCAGCCATACTGACTAATGGTTTTTGTGGTTTTCCTCTGTCCCTCCAGGCAAACACTGGGATAATACCTTAAATTAGGTCATGACTGCTTCCTTCCACACACTTTCCAATTCACTGTTCATTAATTATAAAACTTGATACCACATAGTCTTTGCTACTGAAAGTATAATTAAATAAAACACAAATATCAACTGTAATATTGTTTAAATACAGAATATTCATTAACACAGGTATACAAATATTTTTAGATTTATAGTACCTTAGAAAGCATATAATGACTGTAAATGTTTATTTAGTAACAGATTTAAAGCATGTTATATCCATGTAAAGCACGTTAAGCATATGGACAAAAAAACTCAGATAATCTTAAAATTCCAAGAATGTGCCAACCAGACTTACCTTCATTGTTAAAATTAAGGTACAAAAAGGGTGCACACAGGGAGTCAAGTCCTTGCCAGTACACATACTGGGGGTGACTTACCACCCAAGCTTTAAGTACACGTCTAAACTTCCGGTGTCCCTCACAAGAAGAGAGCAGTTCGTCATACTGGTGACAGCGTGGGATGTCCACTTCAATCTGTCACATAAAAAAAACTGTGATAACAAAACAAGTAAAATATTATTTCTCTTCATACAAGAGAGAGAAGAAATATCAGTCTGAAACACTTCACCTTTTTTATGAATCTGAATATGCCAAGACACCTGAAGAATATAAGTTCATACAGAATACAAATTATGGAAGTCTTTTGGTATGTAATTTCATCCATCTATTTCTTTCTCTTTCCCGGAAACTATACAATTCCTCAAAACTCAAATTAATGGAAAAAATAATTTATTTACAGTTTCAATTCTTAATCACTTTTTTCCCCACTCACTATCGTTTTAAATTAAAAAACATGCACCAGTCAACCACCCTTACCTGCTGTACTATTAATAACACTACTACAGATATAGTACAGATCTTTGGTACATGTACTAAAGTCATGTACACTGTACTACTGGTTATGCAAACACTCATCCTAACAAAGTGATTTGCTTTCCACAAAACAAGAAAATCACTCCTTTTTCAGATGCTAAATTATGAAGAGAATCCTTGATTACTTTTAAAAAATACAGTAAGCTGAAGTACACAATGACCTGTCTGTCGGTATGAGTGGGGGTTTCCTTATCCACTGCCACATAATACCCATCCACATCACCATCAACTTCCAGCAAGGCTGCCCATATATGTCCACGATACAACGGTGGTATATCCTTGTGAGCTTCTTTAAGAATTGCTGCCTTTTTATAAGGATAACCCTGTACACAGGAAACAGTGAACAATTACAGGCAGTTAATTAAATTATAAAATGGAAGCAGTTGTATAAATTTGGTTATCACAAGACTCACTCTCAGTTTACTTCACAGCCTCTTATTACAATTTCCAACATCTCACTGAAAATTCTAATATTAATTTATGGAACACAGATCTGAATAAAAAGTCAGCTTAACATACATGCTTGAAACAGTAATGACTCGACAACGAAAACTTATCATAATCATTAACATATTACTAAATACACAAAATAAAGCATAACAAATTTATTTTATTTAATTTACAGAAATGTGGAATATTACAAGAATAAGCACTTTAATGTTTTGTTTTTTTAACATTACAAATATCTGGACATTAAATTACCATTTCTGGTGGTGGTGGGTGTTTTTATTGAAGATTACGGTCTTCTAGGTTGTTGCACCGTGTAGTCTGGCACAACAACCCAGAAGACCGCATATTCACTCACTGCTGTGAAAACCTCAAATCCAATGGTGTTTTTATTATTACACACTTTATTTCTATTTTTCTTCAATATTCTGAGTGCTGACATGTGGAAAAAAGCAAGCATAAGTATCAAGTGTATCATGATGTATTAAGATCCTGCAAAATGCTAAATGATTTGTGAGTCTTCTAGGAACAAAACTACTAAATATAGGAAAGTTTACCTTAATAAGTCTATCATAAAGAACAATTCTATGGAACTGATACTCTGTGTCACGCTCTCGAATGATTAATGGGAGAGATGCGGCTTCCAGTTGCTCACCATCTTCTTTTGATATGATTTCTGATCTGAAATTGAAAATATAAAAAGGTTAAAGCATTAGGATAGCTACAACTGTATAGAAGTAAAGTATGAAACCATAAATATTCATACTCACTTAATCTCCACAAGGGGGTAATAACTTGTGAGAGGTACATGAACTAATCTCTGATATAGCGTATCCAATGGAAGAGGCACAACTCGTAAATCCAGCATGGAAGTTTGGTCTCTCACTTGCCCAAATACTGTTCCTTCCAATAAAACCAAGCTATAGAAAGAAATGTGGATATAAATTAAATGGTTTACTACCAGAGAAAGCAAAAACTATGCATGTTTCTTACTGTTTGTTTAAAGCAGAAATAGAATGTGGCATTCAGATCATCATTTTACATTATCTAGCACCTTAACAACTGACATTCTCAGCTTTTAATTATATTCCCTTTTCCAGTATTTGGGAGACCAAAATGGCAAGCCACTCTAATGTTATTAGAGTTTGATTTGCAATACTACTGATACTACACTACAACCAGGCCTGTATACTTTTATATCTCTGACTTTGAATTTTCATGTGGCATGCATGCTTTTTGCGACTAAAAGGGCTCCACAAATGATGAAGATAGAAACGCAGATCTGCATAATGACAAATTCAGTTTCTGGAAATTCTGTCTGTGTGTGAACAGAAACCCACGAACTTCCCAAGATCCTCTCACTATTCATATACATATCTAGATGTCTTCTCCTGACAACATATTGTCATAATGATAAACAAATAAACAATTATCTTAACTTGTAACACAAAACTTTTTTCTGTAACATATGTGATTGTTGAGTTATGATCACTCTGAAAAGCAGTCCACTTACTTTGGTATGGACAGTATAGGTGCCTTTGTTCGGATCAGTCCCTGCTTCTTGAGTTCTGCCTGCACATCCCCACCAGCAAGATGCCAGAGGTAATAAAGTTCTTGTAAGCTGCGTTCAAGCAGTGGATGCTTCACATTCTGATAGACTGGAATACGATGAGACTGGAAACCTGGGAACACTTGATACTGCATTTCTTCTTTGGAATGTTTGTTTACATCTACTTGAGACACATCTTGAAACAGAGGATGCCGCAGCAGTTGCCGTGGTGTGGGACGTTCACAAGGTGAAACACTCAGACACTTGCTAATGAAATCATGAAGTTCAGCTGGAAACTCCTGAAACAATACTGTTCACAGTTGAAAGAGAAGTCTCTGCACAAATTAAATAAATTAAAAGCGATCAAAGGAGAAAATACACGAATGTATTGAAAATATTCTATTTCTACTGCACCATTTGCCAAAAGATCTTATAATATGGAAGAAAACTACATATTTTTATAATTTACAGTTACAAAAGATAAATTATTTGTAGTCTATTTGTCTGCTTGAGGTAAATTCCATTCTTACAGATGCTTCTGCCCTCTGCACACAGGACAAGATGAATTAATCATTTCTAAGATTGCAGTATTGAAAGGAAGATTAATGGTATGCTGTAGGGACCTACACTTTAAATTTAGATCCAAAGTACAAAACAATAATAGTACATAAACAAACCAATATCCTGAAGCTCTATTTTATAGCAAATGAGATGTGTCATAAATTCTATACGAAATATAACTGGCAAGAATAAGATCATAATACTTTTTCTCACATTAGCAATACCAAAATTATGACTGTGTGAAACTATAGAGTGATGCAGAACTAAAATTACTGAATATATAATTAGATCACAAAATAAACAATGCAGGAACAGTTTCTCCACATACTGTAAGCAGTTAATGTCACCAACACTGAACAATCAGTAGTAGAGTATCCTAGTATATCACCTGACAATCTTCCCAGCAGCCATGTTCTCTAGCCAGGCGTTCCAACACTGACACCTTGATGTGTAATAGGCTTAGCACCTTACGCATGCACTGTGCTAACTTGAGGTCACTCCACAGCTGTTTTCCAAGTGCCAGTTCCAGAATAATCATGCCTAGGGACCACACATCAACCTTCGAACCAGACTTAGCACCACGACCACCAAGATACACCTCTGGGGCAAGGTATTTTGGATGCCTAAAAAAAAAAACTATTATCCACCTAACAGTTTATGCCAGGATTTCTTGTAAAATCTCTAACCATTTCTTTGATCATCCTACAAAATACTGTCTGCATGGTAGGTCAGAAAATAGAATAATCACATATAATATAATTGTGTATTTCACTTCACTTAGGGCTTCATAACCCACGCACCCCTTATTCTCTGGAAGTTCCCCAAGTACAATCCTCTAAATATACAATACACAAAATCTTTCTTGAAGTTTCCGATTTTGGTATGGGTACTCACATTGCATAGTCCTGGAGGAGTTTACCAGTGTTTCAGAGGAACATACCAACTGAATCTTTATTTCTCCCTCAAAGATGAAAGTGTCACATCCCTCTGAAACATTGGTAACCACCTACAGGTCTACATATGACAGTACCACAACTCAAAAGACCACAATCCAAATTCTTACTTACTTACCTCAAATCTCATACAAATTGATGTTTCCTATATTTTATTCCTTACTATAGCATGTCAAAACAAAGACAATGATTCCTTCACATATAAAAATAAAATAATTCAAGACCCACCAGATATTTACCCAATAGGAAATGAGACATCCATTCCTCCATTAGTCATATAATATAAACCATAGTTGAAAAGTTGGATATGTCCACGATCTGTCAGTACTATGTTCTCTGGACACAGACTGCGATGTACAATTCCAAGTTCATTAAGGTAGTTTAATGCTTGTAGTGTCTGAGATGCAATACTGATTACTTCATCTAAAGACAGTGGTCTTGAGTTTACTAGCTGGGGAAGATATTCAGATATACTGATTACTTCATCTAAAGACAGTGTTCTGGAGTTTACTAGCTGGGGATGATATTCAGACACCACCATAGTGCGCTCTGCAAGAAAAATCAAATTATATATCTCCAAACTAAAATTAAATGGGCTGCTAGTAACAATTATATAGTAAATAACCATTTTAGGCACTAACTCAAATTCACTGTTTCCTGACTGTATAACCATGACAAGTGACACTTCAGTTCACTAAATTCCACTATATTAGGCACAGAAAAGGTCACAAAGTATGTCAATTTAATTCACACCATGTTTTCCTCTGATGATGTCCAAGTAGGAGCAGAGATATGGATGACTGATGGTTTTCAGGAACTGTGCCTGACCAAATATGGTGATAGAGTTAGGTGTCAAAGGTAGACCATTGCTGCCACACAGTTCACCAGGATGGCTCTGAGCAAAAAATGTCAGCCCTCCAAACTGGGTTCCAATTGTAGGACTTGCCACTGGACTCATTATAGTAATGCTGAAATCAAGTATTAAAATGAGTAAGCAAGTGCACAGTTCATTTATTAGAAGTAGCATAAATCCATACAGCTGTGCAGATGTTGGCACAGTTTATCACATTTTACCACACTTTCATTGTATGGAGTTTCTTGCAGCTTTTGCTTAAAACATTCTCCACTTCAAAAGTGAAAATAATAATTATGTGGAAATAATTTAATAAACTCACTTTCAGATGGCACTTACAGCTTATGGACATATTATGCCAGCCGTAAATATATAACAGAACTACTACCTTTTTACATGTGCATGTATGCCATAAGTTCACTTATGACAACAGCATGACCATGATAATTGCTCAGATTACAGTATGTGTTCTCCTAAGTTTTCAACACATTCAGATCCATAATCAGAAACTTTTGATGTAAGTCTTCCTTGATTAAATTCCTGCAGCCAGAAATTTCTGTTGTGATGGTGAGCTGGACATTTGCTCTTGTGGTTTTCATCAGTCAATAAGGAAATCACACTAGATAAATCACAAGGTATAACATAAGTGTAAGTTCCCAATTTAAAATTTCTTCAAATTCCATTCAGTAATTTTGGAAACAAAATATACATATGTATGTGACATTACCCTGTATAACATTATACACATAATTTCTACATAAATGATAAATTAATAATTTCTAATTAATTCACAATATGTTTAAAGTACCATGTATAAATAAAATTATGTATGGTCTACAAATTCATCAACATAGCAGATGTAATAAAAAAAATTATGTTAACTGAAATTTTCTTCTGAGGGTGGAAACATTTCAAAATATTACTGCCAGCTTGTTTTAGATTGTGTAAGACAAAAATTGTGTTAAAATAAATTCGATGGGAAAAAGCACCATAACCTACAATACGTAACCACATACCTTTCAACGTGATAAAACAGCAGACACAAGTGATACACGCTAATTATAATGTCTACAGCATTGACGTTCAGCGTTCATATCCGATTTAAACAACTATGTTTATAAAATGAGCAGCATTCCCGACCTCACGACATATCTCAAGGCCATCCCATTTTTTTTTTGTAACATCCGCCATCTGCCGAGCCTAATATAAACCATAACTAGATGGCTTATGGAACCCGAAGGTTCATCACCAAATAACCAAAGCCCTCCACCGGACCCTGTCCTTGGCTAACAAAATCCTGCCATGGTCATACCAAAGAGTCCGTCCGGTTTCGAGGCTTTTAGGTTATGTTTTTTCGTAACAATGCTGTTTTTTTTACGGTGAATGGTTGTTAGCCTCACGCCCAACCCCCGAGCTGGAGGACCACCCCTCGTAGGCTGTCCACGACTGCATATTCAATATATTCGCAGCTAACCTCGAAAACTGGAGCCTGTTCCTCCATCCGCAGTCTCAAATACGACTGTATATCGAGGTTATAATAACTGTTGTGTAGTAGTACATACACATAGTTGTCCTCCCGTAACAGAATTAATAAAACTAATATAAACCATAGCGATATGCAAATGGCAAACTACGAGCGGCATAAGTCGAGAAGGGGGGAATGGAATTTCCCAAGGTTTCGAACATTTTAAATAATGGCAACAGCAGACTATTAAATATTCACTCATCCAGTGGAATTACATAACTTGGAAAACATACTACAGAGTCGCTACTCTTTCAACAGGGGCCTAAAAAAGTTGAAATTTGTACTAAAATTACAAAATATCTTAAAATTTCTAAAAATTATTCCAAGCACTTATTTACAAAAATGGAAGTATTCATAAACAATATTTTGTATTTAAAAAATTATGATAATTTACCACTGCAAAAAAATGCCAAGTATCACTAGACCCGTGGGCACAATTTTAATAGAGGTTTCTGAGCTACTCAGCAACTTTAAACAATACTGCCAAGGCAATGCACAGTATTTGAGCTTCAGGAGGCAACATAATGGAAGACTTAAACCTATTAGTATGTTGGAAAAGCCTTGTGTAGTTGATGGTGACATGCCTGTTGCTCTTAGAGGACTAATAAATATTACCAGTAAAATTTGTTAATCATGGGGCAATAATGGTGTCATTATTGGAGGGGCATCCACTCCACATCTTCCAAAACAATTATGGACTTTACTGGCCTGATTGCAGTTGATTTTGCTTTTGGTACTGAAGAAATAAATATTAAGGATGCACATTTTGTATACTTGCCCATGTAGCCACTTGGTGTATACATTTAGTTTACAGAATATAAAGAATCCTCTAGCTACAAAAATTATTCAATTATCAAAAATCTGAGTAAGATACAAGTAAAATTAAGTGAGACTTGACGGTTGTTTTGGTTCTTTGATAGTGCTATATCAACTGTCGAGCGGCACTAGTGGACATTACATACAGAAAGAGATTGCTAAGTTTACTAATTTACAAATCCTGCCAGCACCTACATACTTCAGATGGATGAATTTAGTGGAAAGTAGGTGTCAGAAGTTATTGCCAAACTTTTCTTTAAGACAAGAGAGTGAACAGAAAGCTTTGGTAAAATAATTCACATACAAAACCTTACATATTTCATTTATATTATATGTATAAATATACTCACAACGATAAGATTTATACTTTGATCCAAAGAGAGCCAAAAGTTTGAAATGTAGTGAAGAACTATACTTCTCCCAGATCTCATAAATAACAACCCTATATACAGATAATATCAGGATTTCAGACAAGATACTCTGTTGCTAGTCAGATCAATTTTGGCAATATCCAGTAAAACTACTTGGCATTAACCTTCCTCTTCTGCAAGATACTAGCAATGAAGAACTCGCCAGCTTTGTAAGAGCTGCGAACTAGAGGACCACTTGCTGTATATAGGAATCCCATTGAGTTGCCTACTTCTTCCCAGTGTTGAAATTTTGATGGTGTAACATATTCGACAACCTTCAGATGTCGCTTTGTTGGCTGCATGTATTGCCCTAATGTGACACAATCCACACCAACATCCTGTAGGTCTGAAACAGACATAACTCACTCAGCTAGTCAAAAAATCCCAACCTTATACAGAACCATGAGATTTATTAGCATATTCACAAGAACCAGCTGCTAGTCCCTATCCTAAACCAAATGAATCCAATCTGCACCCTCCCAAATGATTTTGTTAAAACCCATTTGAATATTATTCTCCTAATTATGCCTAGGTCTTCTGAGTGGTCTCATCCCTTCAAGTTTTCCAATAAAAATGCTGTATGCATATCTCATCTGACTCACATGCACTAGATACTCCACCAATTTCATCCTCCTTCATTGAAGTATGGTGTTAACTGGACAAATTTTGAGACCAGGAAATCTAACAATAATAACTGTTTCAACAATTTGGTGTTAACTGGACAAATTTTGAGACCTGGAAATCTAACAATAATAACTTTGTTTCAACAATGAAATTACAGTTTTTCAAGATTTCATATAAACTACACAATGTAAAAAGAGTTATCTCATATACTTTCCCACGCAAGGTAGCAACCAACATTTAAGACAAAGAAATATGAACTTAAAAGCAAATGTGCTTACCTTTTAATGTCTGCTGTACTTGCTCATCAGTTTCTCCAAGACCTAGCATGATGGAAGATTTTGTAATAAGGTCTGGATTAACTTCTTTTGCCACATTAAGAACCTTCAGAGATTGCCTGAAATACACAGGTTTATATCTCTGTAAACAAATCTTATTCTAGGCAAGAAGTAGAAAATACTGTGCAGAACAATTAAGTATACCAGCTAAACAATGACGATGAAATAAGGAAAGACCACAGCCAGAACCAGATCCCTGGAAAAGTCCTTGAGAAGCTAATACAGGTAAAAAAATTCAGTATCTTTTATGGAACCCAAATGCTCATTACCATGTTTATAAGAGACTGCCAACAGACCCTACTTTGAGCCACATATGAATCTATTATACCTCTCATATCCCATTTGTTTTAATATCACCCCCCCCCCCCCCCCCAAGGTCTTTCTTCATGTAGCCTAACTTTAATGTTGTATACATTATCATCTTTCCCATGGATGCTACATACTCTATCCACATCACATACCTTGATTTCATAACCTTAATATTATCACGTTCCAAAAAATGCAGGGAATTTCTAGACCCCTTGGGCATACTATTAGCTTGTCAAGGACTATACTCAATGAGGTTAGTTAGGTATTTGACATGCAATTATTCAATTGTTTTCCTTCTTAAACTTTGTTTCTAGAAAGAGGAATGGAGACTTACCTGTATTGTGCTCTTCGATCCCTAACGTATGGGGTCAGAGACTCAACTGTCTCAATGTTGTGAGCATATACATCGAGTCCTGAGTCAGCAATAGTCTTGACAGCATCCAAGTCACCACGGAAATCTGGGACTAGGCATTCCACCAAAATATTTGAATTCCTAAACAAATATAAATATAAATCGCCTTATAATACTTATACCAAAATGGCTTAAAAACATGTGAATTTAAATATTCTATGTTAATAAAATAAATGAACAAAGAAGAAATGGGCACTGGTCAATTCTGTATTTTATATTTATTTCCAGGATTTATGTTTAATATGAAACAACCTACACAAACAACATTCAATAAGAAATCCTAACTTACTGATGCTTGATTTCTCGCACAGTTTCAGCAAAATGATGTGATCCTCCATCTGGCAAATCTGCAAATTTAATATTTAATTGAAACATTACACTCTTTACTAAATTAAACTTGTTACAAGTATGTTCTCTTTATTTAATTGAAACATTACACTCTTTACCAAATTAAGCTTGTTACAAGTATGTTCTCTCAGGCAAGACTGCCGGCATATATGGATCTTCCTTAAGTATTACATATCACTGATCAGTAATTAGAGGATGCAGTGAATAGTTCATAGTACATGTAATAGTCCACAATATACAAATAGCAAAGAAGGTAAACAGGTGGCAATCATTACCCAACATGCAGGTATAACAAGGAACTTAAAAGGGCATGCATAAAAGCAGTGAAATGATTTCATGACTTCTAAGAAGCATGATGACACATTTGTACAGTGAAAGCACTGATACTTCATCCACAATAAATATGGAGCAGTGATAAGCAAAAACCTAGTTTATGACATTCTTAATGATAACAGAACTCAATAACACCCTCTCTGTGCCCAAGCATCACACATAGAAGCTGCATATGGAATGTATGGAAGTACAGATCCATACATTCTTAAACTTGGCACTAGATGGAAATAAGTGGCCAGCTTTACGCACACATCCAGCTGTTTTAACATAATGTGCACTGTACAATGAACACCACACTGACATACAGAATGCATACCATCTCTGTCAACAGAAGTTAGAACCACATAATCCAATCCCCACGCAGCAATAGCAACAGCAGTGTTGACTGGCTCACTTGGATCTGGAGGAGGTGGTGCTCGGGATGTCTTCACTGAACAGAAACGACAACCTCTGGTGCAAGTGTCTCCAAGAAGCTGCAATAGAGTTTTCACAGTTTGAACAACATATTGAAATTAATCAATGGTTATGTTAAAACATGATAAGATACATAAGTCCTGCACAGGAGGCAGTAGAGACTACATATTTGCTATTCTTTGACATAACAGAAAAATCATGCAGAAATTTGTCATAATAGTATCATAATAAGGGGCAAACCCAACTGAAACATGAATAAATCTGTGAAGGTTCAGTTTGCTGAATGTTTTAATTAGCCTACTTTCTTTATTTCATAAATTTAGTGTATGTTTACCATACCAAGTATGACCAAAATCTGTCCAGTGATTTGAGTGCTGTTACTTGCAGGCATATAAATGAACAAATTGAAGAAGAAAAAATGGAACAAAGAGATACTTTTAAAATTGCTTTAAAATGCACCTAAGATCATACCTAAATGTTGATGGCCATTATCTTATAAGTGAATTAATATTTACTCAATATACTGACAGCAGTAACCAAAGACAATTCTAACAAGATAGTTACTTTATGGAATGTTAAGTTCTTTTAGAAACACACCATAATTGTGGCAGTAGCACTACCATGCTTGCCACCACCCCAGCATTCTCCAATATTAGGACAGCGTGCCTCTTCACACACTGTATGCAAGTTTAACTGTCGAAGTTGATCTCTTATGCGGGAATAGTTACTGCCTGTAGGGATGTTGGTCTTCAGCCATGGTGGCAACCGCAACCGTTCAGACTCTCCTTTCTCACGTTTTAATTTTCCATCATATTCCTCCCAGTTCCTCGGAGGATTGGAAAGAAACTCTTGTAGTCCCGGTCCATTCGCTAATCTGTGACGAGCTTCTGCAGGAAGTCCAAGTTTTATTTCTTCAGATGAGATATTCTTACACCTTCTGCACTGAAATTACAATGATATGATTCAAATTAAAATTCTTCCATATAAACAACAGAATCTAGGTTGGCAAACAACAACAAAACATCAATGTATGAAAATCAAATATCCATCCATAAATTTGTACATTTTTTTGTAAAATATAATGAGGGTATGTGGATGTACATGAGTGGGTAAACATGCATAAATATTTCGTTATTTTACAATCAACTCAGGACATCACAAAAAGGGGATATAATTTCATCATGCAAAATGGATACAAAAAATATTTAAAGAATAAAGCAATATGACTAAATAGGCTAAAATATAAGTAACTGAATTCCATCCTTTTTGTATGAATTCCTAAAACGAGACTCAAAACATAACCTGTCTTTAATATTAAGTACAAGATACATATATAACGTTTATATGTGAAATACTGACATCAGTAAATATCAAAAAGAAGTTTAATATACTGGAATTTAGCTATTCAATAATCATCATACCACTATAAAAAGTCTGAATAACGATATAAAGAAGTTTATGCCAGCACTAAAAGAGTATCGCCTATCTCACTTTCTACTCCACAGAATTTACCTGACAAAAATTCTCAGCTATTATAAATACACGTGGTGTTGCTTTTTTGCATAATTATTCAAAAATTCTCAGCTATTATAAATACATGCTTTTTTTTGCATAATTATTCTTGCTGTAACACTGTAGTTGAGCATAAATCACTGTCATAACAATGTAGTTGTTATTTGTATTACTAGTAGAAAATATGTGCTATGAGAGGTTCTACATCCTTGACTTCAGCCTATGAAGGCTCTGTGGAATGTAAATTCTATTCTATTCTGTTCTATCAGCATGTATCTTTGGTGGAATGCTTTCGCATTCTGCCCCCTTACCCTTTACTACTAACTACAGTTTGTTGACTGATTGATGAGATGACATGTCCCGATAAACCTTTCCTACGTTATCAAACTAACCTCAAACTTAAAATTGTGTTTAAATTGTAGAACGTGTGACCGAAACATGATGAGATTCCTTATTCACCAGGTTTTTGCAGAAACAGTCTTAAAGACAATAACTACATGTAAATTATCTTCTTTATACACATTAAGATTTATTCCCAATAATAAGCAATTATTAAGTACACAAACACAACCACCCCATGGTAACTATACAGTGCTGCACAGAGATCACACAACGTTGTGACTCCAGATATTGGGTTTCTGTGGACATGCAGAGTAACAAACCCATTTCCCACTGTTCCAAATTTCCCCGGAAGCATCTCAATTGGGATTTGAATTTTATTACTCTGAGACATTCGCCATATTTCGCTTAAAACGGTACAGAAAATGTTAAGAAGCGGGAAGTTCTGTACAGAGATATTAGAATATTTTCAGTATTCTGGTGTTTTTCTGCGACCTAATCTTCGAGGTAAAATTTTTGGAACGACTGTAGCATTTGCTTTTATGGGGAAGTTATAATATATTTGGTAACACGCAATCTGTAATGAAACATAACCTAAGTGTTGTAGTACAGTATGTATACATATAATAATACAAGTCATAAACATGACCTCCATATTCCGAATAATGACCACACTACTTATCGGAAAGGTGTTTACCACGCAGGGATCAAAACATTTAATACACAGTAGGGTTTGAAGTTCTCACGGTGGTGAGTACGAGGAAGGGTGTCTTCTGATTTTCAGCGCCGTGTAGTTTGGAAAAGTTCACCAACGTTTCAGAGGTCCTTGCTATCTGTATTATCAGAGTGGTAAGAAAGCCGCGTGCGAGGGATTGGTTTGAGGTATAGAAACCATTCGGTCAAGGCAGAACATTGTCTGGACCAATGGGGAATAAGTGGGGATCGAGCAAGGGCAAGGAAGTATACAGGATAGGGGAGTGTGTCACTTTCAGACATAATTACTATATTAATCCACAGACCTGATGGACTCTCAGCCCACTGGCAATAGTTGCATTGCCCCCAGATAAACATGCCTTGGTAGCCTTCTCTACATGAGCACAACTTTCAACTGCATCAGCAGGCTGCTCTCCCCCCCCCCCCGCAAAGAAGATCCCCAGTTTCCTTCAGCATGTGAAGGCCAATCTGGGACTCATGATTCCTGGGGTGTACAATGTGCCCTGCAAGTGGAATCAAGTCTACATTGGTCAGATCGGCTGTTCCATGGAGACCTGGTCGAGGAGCACCAGTGCCACTTCTGTCTGCAGCATCCACACAGATCCACTGGGCCAACCTGAGCATTCAACTTCAGGACATCACCATCCTCTCCACCAAGCCTAGATACATAAAACATTATCAGGGAAGCCACTGAGATTGAGCAACACCCGAACAACATGAACAAGGAGGTTGGCCTTCACCTGTGCTGGTCAAGGAAGCCCCTCATCTACTCTCTCAAAAGATGAAGGATATAGGAAGCATCTAATACAAAGGTGCCTGTTATGACCTGGCCACTAGGGCAGCACATTGTCCTTTTCAGGACATTAATGCAGTCCCAGCCAGTTTCTTGTTTCCTCTCCAAACTCATGTTTAGTCCATTTTCTCCCTTGCATATTTCCTTTCCTTATCCCTGTCTATCCATCCACTCACACTTCCTTATGTTTGGTTACATCCTCTCACTCTTGTGTATGTCCTTTCCCCTCCTGGTCAAGCTGTGTCATGCCGCTCTCTCCTATTGGCTTCCTTGCCCTCACTTGATCCTCACCTTATTCCCCACTGGTCTGGTCAAGGTTATGTCTTTTTCTCAAACCAATTCCTCAGGCACATCTTACTCATCACCTTGATAATGGAAGCAGCAAAGACCTCTAAAACGTTGGTAAACTAATATCAGGCTACACAGCACTGCAACCCAGAAGGCAGCCATCCACGTTCTTGCATGAAAAATATTTAAATATGCATTTTATATGGTTTAAAAAACTTGTGCTTAGGTCAGTGGCTGAGAAATTCACAATTCATAGCATTATATCTTTTATGGACATGGTTTTCTCAGATCAGAAGCCAAAAACTTATTGTAAAAATATTTAATGTCAGTTTGATTTATACTACTGAAGAAAAGCTGTGAACTGTGACTGATAATTGTTTGACATTGAATACTGTATGTAATTATGTTGTAGCACTAAAACTAGAATGTCTCAGCTGCAATACTGACTAATCCCCTTAAGGATAAGTAAACAGAGAATTGGGATTTTATCAGTTTCTCACATCAGATTTGGCTGAATACTTATGAAATTATTTGTTCTGTCTTGTACTGTAATGTGTTATATTAGTTTGTCATTGTTTTGTAGCTCAGCCTCAGTATTTCATTCGATTGTATGATAGTGGAACAGATGATGGGAAAGATGGGACAATGAAAATAGTTCGACCATATCTTAATATACGCACTTATACTACTAATTCGAAAGGAGCAAAAGGTGGATCATGCAAGTCACCTGAAACAACAAAGGCAATGGAAGAACATGTAAAATGCAAAGACACTGATACTTCTAAACAAACACAAAGAGAATGTACTCAGAGCAAGGTCACTGGCCCTCCAAAAGAACCATCAGAGAAAGAATGTAAGCCAGTAATGCCCATCACACCACAGAAGGCTGATATTAAGCCAGCTGCAGAATACAAATCTCAGAGTCCAGTTGGCCAGCCACCTGTGAGCAAATTAATTCCATCAGAGCAAGAAAGTAGCAAGCCCCATAAGATGAAAAATGTCATCCAACAAGACAGCCCTGGTGACACAAGTGGAAAGCAGAAAAAGTATGGTAGGCAACTTATTGGAGGGCTTCTTCTTCTAGCTAGTGCCTTTGCTGTAAGTTTTTAATCTGCCTGTATGCATGATTTTTATAAATTCTAACCTTACACAGGTACATGAAGTGTTCTAAGTGTGAATATTTTGTTCTAGGCATATTTCACAGTATTTACAAAAGAAGATGCAGAAGGAAAACGAGTTAAGTTTGGGGGGAAGAATGTTCCAAAGTCAAGTAAGTGTCGACAGAAAATTGCAGTATGTATATATATATAAATAATTAAGTAATGTAAAAGTGATGGAAATAGAAAATCTACAAGGAAAACTGTTTTGGGTCTGCTTTGTTCATCCCAGACTCCATACAGACTGACAAATTTGTTGGTATATATATTTGTGTTTATCAATCGCTAGACCAATTTTGTGATTGTGCTGAGGAAGTAACTGACTCAAATCCATAGTGTCTCACAATACTGGATTGGATCAAATTGACTTTTGAAAATGTGTTTTTCATTTCTGATTTCTTATTGTTTGCATTCTGATAAATTTATTTACTTGTGATATTTTCTTTACAGAGAAACCTAGAAAGATAATCAAATTCCCAGCAGAATCAAAGGACATTCCAAATACTGTTCCATATTTATTAATTGGAGGTGGCACTGCTTCTTTTGCTGCTTTTCGGGCCATCAAAACTGCTGATCCAACAGCAAAGGTAGGTGGTTTGTTTATGTGTCTCAGAATATATATTTTACAATTGTCAGTTATGGTCTCCATGTCAACCAGTTATCCAATACTTCTGTGCAGCTTTATACATATTTCCTGAATTCTCATTGTTATATATGAATGTTCTGTACTCTAATTGAGTTAAATATGATTTCAGTTTTAATTTGAATTTAAATTAAAGTACGGATTGAAATTAACACGGAGAAGAGTTATATATGATTTACATTATTTTTTGTTCCAGGTGCTTGTTATTGATAATGAAGGTTATTATCCATACATGAGGCCTCCACTTTCTAAAGAGATGTGGTTCAATGATGATGTTGAAGCTACTAAGAAACTGCGGTTTAAACAATGGAATGGATCAGAAAGGAGGTATAAAAATAATTCATTAATTGCATATGGACAAGTTTTGCAGACCAGTGAAGTGGCAAAGAGCCTTAAGTACGGATGATCTGGTTGGTTGCCAGAAACTGTCCATTTTCATATTGAACGAAATTCTGATCTGAGGTTTTTATGAGCAGAAGGGATGACAGATTTTAACACTAAACTGAAGCAAACTTAAAGGGAGGAAATTTAATTGGGAGTGTTGACTTGGAATAATTAAAATTGGACCTTACATGAAGGAAACATTAAATCTAGGAATATTAAATGGAGTTTTCACTGTATTTAAAAGTTAACAAAATGTATTGTTGTAGGCATAAACAATCTTCATTGACAAGTCCACACATTCATTAACCTGTGTCTAAAAAACAGATACTGAAACTGGCTTTAATATTTTAATGCAGAACAGTTATTTTATTCATCATACACTATTCAACAACTAGATTAATTGGGTCATAGAATGGCATATGCAGATAGGAAATATCAATTTGGCTGGATGAGAGTATGGTTCTCATTTTATATTGTAAGAAATCTGTAAGATATCTTGGATTTTTTTTTGTGGTTTGTAGCAGACTATGAATATTTGAAAACTACACTGAAAATTGAAAGATTCCTTACAGAAAAAGAAACCATGTTAAGTGTGTTCCTTGTCACAGTGGCATGGCACATTTATAGATTGCAGATGGAGGAGAAGGCCTCCAGATGTGAATATATTGAATAAGCCATTACAGATGGCAAGTAAGGAATTGTTATTCATCCTGGGGGCTGCGTAGGAGGCCAACAAATCCTTATCATAATATACCTATATTAAATACACCAAAGACAAAGAATGTTTGAGTTGCACTCTGTTAATACATGTTGCAAAAATATTTACTGATGTGTTTGACTTTACAGTTTATTTTATGAGCCTGAAGATTTCTATGTTGACTGTACGGAATTGGCAACTCGCCCGAACGGTGGAGTAGCAATTGCTCGTGGGTGGACTGTTAAAAAGCTTAACGCACTTGAAAGGAAAGCTATACTGGAGGATGGCTATGAGATCAGTTATAAGAAGTGCCTTATTGCAACAGGTAAAATGTACAGTGTTTGGTGCATATATTTTAGCTGATTCTGTCAGTGCCCTCACAATATAAAATTAAACTAATATTGTATTTACATGCAGTACATTTTGGTCATTTTGGAAACTGTAGTGGCAAGTGTGCCTGTTTATTTTCGTTTATCTTGAAATGAGATTTGTCCTAGTTCTTACTACTTCAACATGTTTTATACTTTCTGTTGCTAGTTGTTGGTTGTAAAATCAGAGCTAGCCTTTCTCTATAAAGAGCAAATATCCTTTAGTCTAAGAAGTTACTACAACACAGAACAAGAAGATTTTTGTCTTCTGGGTTGTTGCGCTGTGTAGTCTGGTTGATGTTTCAGAGGTCATACTTCCTCCGCCGTCTGAAACGTTGGTAAACATTGACCAGACTACAAAGCGCAGCAACCCAGAAGACAGAAATCTTCATACTCACCGCTGTGAAAACCTCAAATCTTACAACACAGAACAAGCTTATGCCATCTAACAGTATTAGCATAGACTGCCATAACTGAAATTTAAGGGCAGTACCTCTGTCGGTAGACAGCTTCATTTTGAAATATGTCTATTTCAGGTTCAACTGCTCTGAACCTGCCATTATTTGAAGATTCATCACAGGACGTTAAGGAAAAAGTTACATTGTTCAGAGGAATTTTTGATTTTGAAGAATTAGAAGATGTAATTGAAAGTGGATCTAAATCAGTTGCAGTTATTGGTGGTGGATTTCTTGGTAGTGAATTAGCTTGCTCGATAGCACGGCAATGTGAGTAAATACTGGTGCATGTTTCATTTGTAGCTTTTAAAGAAGTCAAGTCTAGTACTAACTTGCAATGAATTGGTTGTTATGACTACTATTAAACTTTTATAAGTAATGTGCTTTATTTTTGGTGTTTTTGTGTGTGTTTTTTTAAGCCTAGTCACATAGAATGTTTATAAATTTTCAGTTTATAAGACTGGTCTTACAGTACACCAGATATTCCCAGAATCAGGTAACATGGGTAAAGTGTTGCCTGAATATTTGAGTTTGTGGACTGCTAACAAGTTGAAAGAAGAAGGTGTAAATGTTATAACAAATGCTGAAGTTGAGGATGTTAAAAACATAAAGGATCAACTGGTCCTCTCACTTAATAATGGAAGCAAGGTAATTTTGGTTCATTTTTAATTGACCACCGTTTAAGGTGTATGTGCATGATCTATATTGATGATATGTTTTCATGGAATTTTAAAAATGATGGTTCCTTACTAGCCAAACTAAAATTTTATTCAGGAGAAAGTAACTGGAAAGGTATTGCCAACATATGAATGTCAGTGTAAAAGGAAAATCTAAATAATATATGATAATAGAAATTACAAAAATTAATTTGTTTGCCAATTCTGAATATCAAATTATGAGCAGGCAACCTTATTTTCAAGTCCCATGAATTTGTATGAGAGTGTAAGTTTAAAAAATAAGTACAATAACGTTTTGTTTACTTTTTACAATTTTAGATTAAGGCTGATCATGTAATTGTGGCAGTTGGGGCCTATCCTAACACAGACCTGGCTAGATCATCAGATTTGGAACTGGATGAGGAGCATGGTGGTTTCCTGGTCAATGCAGAACTAATGGCTCGAACTGATATTTGGAGCGTAAGTGAACAGTGTTCTGCAAGGTCTGACAAATAATTGAACTGAATGTTTCATGCAGCACCTAGTAGCACTGAATTTTGATAACTGATCTCAGAATTGAATAATTTCTAGATGTGGAGTAGACACACTAAGCTCTGTTATCCTCACTTTAGACCCTGTTACGCAGTGCTAGTGTCGTATTTATTGATTCCTCCTGAGGAACTTACTACAGTAATGGTGAGCCATTGATTTGAGTGAACTGTTCTCGGCCAGTTTGTTTTAAATCGCTGTATGTATAACTTATGTTTCCTAAGTATATCATCTCACAAAATAGGTCAGTGTACCTCAACCACTGAGTCATGATGTACCATAATAAATACATAATTCATAACAAAGCTAGTGTCTCAGGCAAAGAAGCCAATTAGGCTCATATATCTCATTAAGAGATCAGTGTTTGCAAATACCTTGTATAATTATATGTTACATTTTACAACTATTCCATACAAAATAAAGGGGATGGAAATATTTGGATCCTTTCTCCTTCTAACTGGCAGAATTGTGTGTAAACGTTTCTGTTTTGAATACGTTTGGCAAAGTAAATCTTTTATTATTGTATGCTTTGATTGATGATATTCTCTAAATTCAAGGCAGGGGACTGTACATGCTTCTATGATGTGAAACTTGGGCGTCGTCGAGTCGAACATCATGACCATGCTGTGGTTTCTGGTCGTCTTGCAGGAGAAAATATGACTGGAGCAGGTAACTTATACATGACATTAGAACGTATTTAACTGCAAAGCGTTAGGATGATCAGATCAAGGAGGATGCGCTAGGTGAGAATGTGGCACATATAGGAGAAATGAAAAATGCATAAAAATGTTGTTTGGAAATCTTAAGGGAAGAGGCTGTTTGGCATAGAATATAGGATAACACTAAAATGGATCTGTAAGATAGGGTGGCACTGTGTGGACTGGATTTGTTAGGATCATGATAAAAATCATTGACATAGAAAGTAGGGAATTTCTTGGGTAGCTGAGTGACTCAGATTCTCAAGGACTTTGTTCCATGGAGCTAGTTTATGTAAAAGTGACAAAATACTTTTTCCACTTTAGATAAAATGTGTGTGAATTATACTAAAGCAAGCTGATTTCAGATGTCTGTTATTGAGAAGACTTATTCTTCTTTTATGGCTCTTTGGTCCGTATTCGGTCCATGGCCTCCTCAATTCTCCTCTTCCATTCGGTCCTCTGTTAGGTCCGTCTGTCCGAGGCTTTGATCAAGGTTTCAAAACATCTTCCTTTTTACGGTGCAAGGTTGTTAGCCTTGTGACCAACCCCCAACCTGGAGGACCAGGGTACCTGTCTTAGTCTGACCTCTCCCCTCAACCAATCTGGCTAGGGAGGCCCTACCAGTATCCCAATGTTTTATTTGGACATGCTACTTCTTTTGTGCATATGCTCCCAGTTTCTTGAGAAAAGAAGCCATAGTAGTACGCTTTGAACATACACCCTTTATCTCTTATTATTTATTCTCATAGAATTTGATACTTCTTAAGACACTTCGGTGTCTTGAAGATACCCGAAGATGGATGTCGCATTTTGAAGTGTTGTTGATGACAATAATTGGAGTTGTAATTTTGTACAGGAAAACCATATTTGCATCAATCAATGTTCTGGTCAGATCTGAGTCCTGATGTTGGTTATGAAGCCATCGGTATTGTTGATTCTGCACTGTCTACCGTCGGGGTGTTTGCCAAGGGTACGGACAGTGATGTACCTAAAACTGTCACAGATGAGAGTAACGAAGCAAAGACAGAGGCAGTAAGTATTTGATAATTTGTTAACATGTGTACTCATAGCGGTAATCTGGAAGACCGTATATAGATAAATTGAAGCAGAAGAGCTTTGTTTGGGATGTCAGTTTGTGATCTGCTATTTGCTGATGTTTACATTTTGGCAAGAGAAAAATGAGGAGGAATAGTGTCTCGGAGTTATGACATACAAACATTTTAATGATGAAGTTATACTACTCGGCAGGTTGGTCTGGCACTACTGCTGTAAACTGTTCTGAATTTTGGCTGGACTACCATCTATCCTAAGTTTGTGATTTTTCTCCGTCTCTCCAAGCAATCTTTGCCGTGTCATTTGATGCTAATATATTGTCGTGCTGTTTGTATGTTTCTGCCATTGCACCACTGACGGAAACGTTAGTAATCATTCATGTTCCAGAATGAAAATAATTAAGCAGTTTTGAAAGTGTTTCAGAAATTGCCTCGGCTTCCAGAAATATTAATGTAGAAGCAAATTGGTGCACAATTTTTAGTTGGGCACGTCATTAATTTTTTTAATGCTCGCAGGAACCGCAGCCAGAATCTCCAGCTTCAGGCGTTCTAGAACTTCCGAAACATGGTAACAATTACGGCAAGGGGGTCATCTTCTATCTGCGTGATGACATCATTGTAGGAATTGTCATGTGGAACTTATTCAATCGTATGTCAGTGGCTAGACAGGTGAGTGATGAATTTTGACTTATGTCAGTTTTAAAACAAAGGAAGGGTCACAGTATGGTCGAATATTAATACATATTTTCGTTTATTTCAGATATTGAAAGAAGAGAAGAAATATAGTGACTTGAATGAAGTAGCAAAACTCTTCAACATTCACGACGAATAACGCGTCTGCTTTCAAGTGAATGCGCGCGCGCACAGAGTACTACTATTGCAAGAATGCCATTTTTTATTTTGTTTAAAATGTTATTTTGTAACATTGCAATATAAATTTCTGTAAGGTTCAGTATTTTGTCTTTATGACTGCGTACTGTATCAGAATAAATAACTGATTTGGTTGCATTTAATGAAATTCTCGTACATTGTATTTTAATGCGTGTGTGGAAAAACTGTTGAACAGTATAATAAAAAAATTTGGATTTCAAATTTCAGAGTGTCATATAGCAGGGATTCTCACATTTTTTTTGAGTAGAGGACCATTATAAGCAGACCAGCCTTAGAGCCAGCGTAATGTGAATTTCATCATGCTTACATTGTTTATTTCTTTAATTATGCATTTATGTTTGTAATTATGAATGAAGGTCATTATAAAGATTGGTTACTAGCATCTTTACTAAAAAGATTATTTATTGGCACAAAAGTATGCTTTCAGATTATGCGAGTACTGTGAATGAACTTGGCGTTGTCGGGATTTTAGTACGAGTCGTCTCGCTGTATTTCATTAATTCCCATTTATATTTGATCATTTTCCTCTGGGAACATAATCTGATAAATAATTAATTCAGCGCATAAATTAAACTTTCAATCATTTACAGTACAGTAACATATTTGGAAGATGCGATGTCAAGTGATGCGTGACTAAGAACAGACGTCTTAACATTCCTGTCAGATTTAACTTATAATTGGAGGCGCCCCATATAATCTGTAAATACGATACATGCCATTAGTGCGTTTTAAGAGCAATTCAGGATTAGTATTGTGATAAAATAAATCCTTCCAAAATATATTACAATTACAGAACATAAGATTTATTTCAGGTCCAACATAACTAAAAGTGCCCACCTTAGTCAAAGCCTTATGCCAAGGTTAATTTTTCTTTTTTGATCGGACGTTTCTGTAGCTACCCGAAAGCTCGTTATAATTCCCAACTCGCTCAGATAATCGGGATGTAAATATAATAGAAAGGGATTATACTGGAACAATATGAGCCAAAATTAAAATCACACGAGTTTTAGTACACAGCCTAATATTCACCGTATAGAATCCGATTTTGGATATGAGATGTATGGACGGACAGACACGGCCTCTCTAGATACGATCAGCTGCTAAACTTTGTGCGAAAAACACATAAGACGCATTGTCAGAAGAGCGCTGAAGGGTGGAACGGATTTAGGTCGTTCTAGCCCGGACTTTCGCACGGTTGAGCGGTGGTGGTGATGATGATGGCGACATGATTTACGGAATCAGAGAGTGGCTGAGTGTGCATGTTCACTGTTATTATTCTAACAAACTGCTGCTGATGGTGCTGGCTTCACCAAGCTGGAAACACACTATATCATGGACATTGCAGTTCAGACCGGCTCCACGTGATATCCTACTGAAGGCCTACATGCTGAGGAAGTTGTGCTTCAGTGGTTGACACTCCTCCTTCCGGCTTAGGTTTCGCCTGGGATAGTAATTTAAGATAGGCTACGACCGCTTCTTTCCGCGTGCTTCTCAATTTATAATTTACAAATAATTATAAGAACTGAAGATGTAGAAGCAAAATAGTTGAAAAACTTCGCCAAATAAACCAAGAACCAATCAAACAAGACGACAACTAGATATATAACACGGGGTCTTTGAGAACAGGACAGGATTCTGAAGAGAATACCTTGCCCCAAGAAAAAGTGAGAAAGAGAGGCAAAGAAGCACGGAGGGCAATCGATGCAAGTGATGGGCGGGGTATTTAGCATGCACGGGAAGATGAGAAATGCATGCAATAACTGAAGCGTAGAGACCACTTAGGATAAACAGACTTAGATTTGAGGACGATATTGAAATAGGTCTTAAAAGCAGGGAGATAGGATGTGGACTGGATTCAAATTCAGATTCACAAGTAACTTCTTGACCAGCTCAGCCACTGTAAGCTTCTCAAGAAGGACTGTTCCTCGTGGTGTTGTACGTCAGTTACAGAAAAATGGCGATGATGATGACAGGAAAATGTATTAATGTGTCTGGTACTCTCTCAACATTTGCTTGAAAGGAGTAAACAAAAGCAGAACCTGTCGACAGTTGCGCGATGCGAAGTGCAGTTGTTACGCACTGCAGCGCAACGTTCGATTTCTGATTCTACATTACTCTTTTTCAACTGCTGACGAAGGTAAAATATTTTGTACACCCCTGCTTCTCATCAGACACGGATAATTGTTAAACGATAATATTAAAACCTTTGTCAAATTTAAATGTGAACCGAGTAGTTGGCACATTTTTAACCCCGCTGCGCCGCGCTAGATGGCCTCATAATTCTTTCTCTTCGCAGTTCTACCACCACAAACCCGGCCACACAGTAAATAATCATATTATAACTCATTTCTGTCCCATTTCCTCGACCGAATCTGACACATTAGCACAGCAACAATGAGATGATAACGCAGCAAAATATTGCGACATGATTTTCGCTTGATCCTACCGCCCGGGTGACATAAATTGAAACATTACGTTTGGTTTCGGGTTTCAACGCGTAGTTTATACAGATACCGTCCATACCAAGCGGAAAACTGATATAAATTTTTTGGCCTCTGTTCAGGATATAGCTTATAAATGTAGCTAATAAAAGCGTTATTAGCTATTTGGCATGCACTTCTGGCAGTGACAGAAATAACGATGCTTAAATTGCATCTACAAAACAATGGAATCACTCGCATTCACGCTCTGTACCTTTGGCAGAGCAGTAACGTGTATGACAGGCATTAGGGAGTTACTCGATTCTAATTCCGACTGAGAATAAAAAGTCCTGACTGACTATTCTCTTTAACAACTTGCCTACTTCTTCACGCGTATCCTATTGTGTCTGGTATCAATGTTCGTTTTAGGATTCTGTCCTAAGACAGTTCAATCCAAACCAAATTCTCAGAACTTGTGTCATTAAGATCCATTTTAGTATTATCCCCGTATCCTTCTCTATAATCCAAGTGACCGATATTCTTGTTTTTACTATCCGAGGCAGATACCTACCTCAGTATAATCTCGTACCATAACACCAAACCCACAAAAAGAAATAAAAAAATTCTTCTTTATTTAATTTTCTTCGTTTCGTTCTTAGTGTAATTATTTTATATTTTCCGAGTTACTTCATCCAACATTGACTAAATATTCTACTTCTCATTAATCAATTACAAACCGTATTTAACACCTGATTTGTCAGTGTGCAGCTGTCTAGACTTCCATTCTCACCCTAGAGTTTCTTAATGGTGATTGATGACCAAGGAATTGGAGAGAAATAGAACAGAAAATTAACTTGGAGGCCAGGAAGACAAGACCTGAGTAGTGCGGTAAGTTTTCGCTTTTCCCTTTGTCTTCCAAATATTAGAACAAACCGAAAGTAATAACAATATTGTACTACTTGCTACACACGTCCTGGAAAGTTCCTGCGGCCCTCCACACCACAAAGTACGTGTTTTGGGGACCAGACTGTGTATAAATTTGTCCCAAATCTGTCAGTCGGGACAGTTGAATAAAGTATTTAATATAAGGGAGAGTAATAAATTAAATAGTGAGCAGGGATGGAAAATGGAATCAGGTCTCATTACAAAATCCGAGACGTAAGAGGGGAAAGTTACCCGCCCTTTGCAGACGGGAGACAGACATGAATTTTGATACTGGATCCGAAAGTTTCAACCCTTATTCGTAGTACCGGCCGTGAGAGAGACAGGTTCATATTCGGGTGTGATGCTGTAATTAACACGACCTCCAAGACAAGCCATGGTGTCAGAGTTTTACTTCTTGTTTAATTAAGAAACTTGGTCAAAGACTATGGAACTAAGAATTCAAGACGACGAAGAGAATATAATAATTAAGAGGGGTGGAGAACGTGAAATGTGGAATGATGTAGACTAAGGAATTGCGATGGGGTTAGGGGAAGAAAAGAAAATATGAAGAAGACGAGAAAGCGGAGTAATTAAAGTGGAGAAATGTACGGAAATTTACCACATAGAATCCGTAAGTGAAGTAGCGCAGAATTAAACATGCTTATGTTTTATGTTAATTTGTTTTAAAACTTCCGTGCAGTGGAATCGAAGATAATTAACTCACAAATCAACTAACTAGCTGATAAACTAACTAAGCAGCAAAGAACTTATCGAGAAGCGCACAGTATGCTCATCTAGCCAAGAAATTCCCTGCATTTTATGAAACTCGAAGCTTTGTTACCGTGTTCACAAGAGCCCGCCACCGGTTTCTATCCTGAACCTGATGAGTCCAACCGACACCCCCAAATCCGAGTTCCTTAAGAACCATTTTAATAGTATCCTCCCATCTACGCCGAGTGGTCTCTTCCTTTCAGATTAAATAGCTGAAAAACAAATAACTAAAATGAAAGACAAACAAAATATTATCACTAACCAAGCAATTAGCTTAATATATACCAGCTGAATAATTAAGAAACACAAGAATTCGAAAATTCACGGTGGTTAAACAATACTGTGGCCTTGTTGGCTATGACATCGTGCTGACCGGCAGGTGGTTATCAGCATTTCGGAGGTTCTTCTGCTTTGAGAATGTTCTTTACTCTCGGTTTTCTGAAATAAAATATATATAATAGGATATGTGTTTATGGTTGACTATGCGTGCGGTTCAAGTATGGCCGACGTGTTTATGGTTGACTATGCGTGCGGTTTAATTATGGCCGATCATATTTTCAGTAATGACGCTAGATGACAGAAACCTGTATTTTACAAGTGCTGTAACTATTGGTCAAGTTTTAGAATCAGCCTACTTCTAAAGGAGACAGAACGCGTAAAAGGAATTTATGAAAGGGAATAAGGGGTGACGACACGAACAGATAAAAGAATTTCGAAGGGTCTTTTCGACTAGTACCAGATGATTATGCAAGGCGTAATTTCTATGAACTAGAAGAAGGCCCATGTCATCTGGCAAGAAGTGTTTCACTTCAGATTAGGTATAAAATCCCCGTGTTTTGCCAACACCAAAACTTTTGGAGTGGAAGACAAAACCAGAAACTTGGAAGAAGATTGCGTAATCCTAGAGCACGGAGAAAGCTCGAACCAACGGAAATTACATCAAAACGTGCAGGTAATCGCTAATGATGTGACGATACAGAGACTGTGGGCTGTACGTGTATCTATGGCACAGAACGTTCTGCTGGCAGTCTTCAATGCATATAGGGTACATTACACAAAACAAGAACAGAGAGTTACAGGCTACTC